CTCTTACACTGAGCTAGTCACAAACTGCGGACACGCGGACAGATGCACTTCCTCTAACTTGCTTGCGTGTGGTTCGAAAACCAATAAAAAGTCGGCGACTCTTCCCTCCAATACATCACTAGTCGTGTATCCGTAGCGACAAATTTTGTAATGAATATGTTCCAAAATAAAAAATAAAAATTACGTAAACTTTCGCAGAAAATTCTCACGATTTCACCAATACCAACAAAGTTCTCGAATCCATATGGAATGATGGGATAAACTGCTAATCTTTCACGGCGTATGGCAACATTGTGTTGACTGTTGACATTAGACAAGACGGTGTCAGACACCTTGTTTTGGTTTTTTAAAGTTCAATTTCATAATAAATAGATTTGATCCACATTTCACAGTGACATTTAAATGATGGAAAATTGTTTCAAAATTTAAACGCCAATTGATACGCTTCTAAATACGAATTTATTCATGTTTTTGCCCTATAATGTCGAATTTGTCTTGATAACTTCACTTCACTTCAAATCCTGAATGATTTTGTCTCCCATGGCGAGTTTTCGAACGTCTTGTGTCTTTTAAAAAATGTTGGTTGTTTATAAGCAGTAATTATTTTATTTTAACGAACCAAAGAAAGTTTAGTCATCGAAATGACAAAATCATTAAATTTAAAATATAAAGTTATATGAGTGAGATCATCAATTATCGAAGAAGCTTTAAGAAAAAAATAGTTTTTGATGTAAAAGAATGTTTTTAATTTAAAAGAAATGCAATACTTGATTTTCAGAAATATGATGCAAAAATTAATGGTCCCTATTAGAATTCAACAGACGCGACTCATTCAAAATTAAATTGAAAAAGTTGGTACCTATTTGAAATTTATGATTTTACAAATTGCTTAATTGAACGCAGTGCAGAAATTCAAGATCACCTATGAGTATGAATTTAAGTCTCATGACTGGAGATCTCAAAATTTATTGTACTACCACGTATGTTTGATACATAAGCTTTTTGTCCTTTTGATGAACAGAGTTAATTTAGGTTCTATTGACTGTAATAGGTAGAACGATGCAACATATTTGCCGTCATCCAACGATCGGTTGACGGCTTTGACTCTTGATACCACTGTACAAATATTGCGGTGGACACTGGACACATCTTCCAGAAGTTTCAATGCAAAGATTCTTATTTAAAGGATAATAAATCGATTCATAGTTGTTTACTCAAATTACTCCCACCTATAGATATAAATGAACATTATTCAATTTATTTTAAACGTTTTTCATGAATTCGCATTAAAATATTTATTTTGAAATCAACCATGTCAAAGCAACAAAATAATTTGTTATAGTTTTAGGCTTCCAAAAATATTTCAAATCGCTATCAGAAATATCATAATTAATCATTCTCTTGCAAGTTGCATTGACTATATTAACGTTATGATCCACGCCGCCGCTGCCGCGATCGTCATTTCTTTTCACAGTTGCATGCCGGGCGCCTTCTCTTGTTGTTCTATGTAGTCTCGCTCCCATGAATTGCGTGTTTAGTGCATGCATCATCGAAAAGTCTGCTTGACAGCGTGTTTACGGTAGCTGTAATTACTTTATTAAGTTTACTTCTTTGCAGTCATATTAAGAGACAAATCTTTAACGAACTAATACTTTGTATAATTTTGATCGTTGAGTGAAAGCTGCGCCTGCAGCCTTGCTGGCACGCAACATTTCCAATTACCTTATAGAAACTTAGCATACCCATACGTGTTTTAAGCCTATAAGAAGTTCATTTTTTTGCCTCAAATAATGTTGTATCGAAAAACTGGTGTAGGTGTATTGGGAATAATATATGAACCGTCAATATTAGAATTCCATCCTGCATATGAGTCTCTTGAAGCTATTCATATTTCATTATTGTTTGTTGTTACTTGTTAGTCTATATAATTAACCTTCAAAGTTGCTAAAAATGAGAACTGAAAATTTAAAAAAAAGTGCAGTGCCTGTATTTTTGTTTTCAATGGGTTTGCACCACACAAACCCATTTCTCCAGCCGGGAGGATGTCGGGAACGCAACGTATTCCTGACATTGACATTTGGGTTTGTACTATTTGCCAAAGTCAGTCCTTCGTTAGAAAGAGCCAATCTCAAGCCATGTGGATTGTCGCCTTCTACTATTCAGTTTTGTAATTAATTTCCAACCGAATTGTGATTTATGAATAATTATTCATAACATTGCTGACTCTTAGAACCTGAGTTAACACGTTAGAAATCTACTCAACGTGATGCAGATATTTGTTTGTGTGTGATAGCGTTGCCGGGCATTCATCTTTAAACAACTTTAGGAGCATGGTGCCGGCTGGCGCACGGTGCACTTTTTTACCGGCATATTACGGCGCAAACCGATTCAATGATAATAAAAATTCCCGCGCACCTGGCACATCTTCCTGACCGTGGGGTGACACGCAGTCACGCACTGCCTCTCTTTGGATCTCAACATTTTCCCGCCAGAGTCCAGACAGCCCAGAACTAGCGTTTTGGCAATAGTATGTCGCGCTATAGTATGACATCACTATTTCAACCATCAACGAATGCGTGGAACTAAGACAAAGCTTGATATAAAGGAAAAAAGTTGAGACTTGAGAAGTGTCGGAATTACCCACAATGTCAGAATATACCGCGTCTACCCTATGAAATTTCCAATACTGTTCCAACTTTCCAAGTTGATAAACTACATTTCAGTGATATTGATAAAATTGAGAAATAAAGTTAATGCTCAAAAAATAGTAATGTTTTATTAATAGAAATTATGTAATATGGAGAACTTTCAAGTGAAATTTCAAGCCAGGGGTGGAATACATCTACTTTTAATGGAAATTTCGCGGCCCAAGAACTCCCATTTATATGTAAGTTTGAAATCTCGCGGCTCGGAAGTCAGGTAAAATATATTGATTTAGAAATGTCGCAGCTCCGAAATGGGTCACGTGACGTGTGATGGAAGGGCAAGCCAGCGGTTGGCAGTTGTCGGCAGCAAAACGATAAAGAATAGTGCACCGGCCGATGTATCACTGTATCATTTGAGCTCATGTTGTTGCCACGTGCGGTTGTGCAGTGATAACTCCTAATCCCGTTTCNTTTATTATGTTTGAGCTTATATTTCATTGCAGGTGAACCGTTTTTGTTCACTGGTTGGTCAAAACATCTTAACAAGTGTTTCCCGAACTTTGTATGTTCGACTCTTTTTTTTTCTTTATCATAAAATTTATCATTATCAAATATTGAAGTCCGCGCCTCCGCGATTTAGTACTACGCTCTCGTCATACACGTATAACGTATATGGTAAACTGTGACAGCAGCAAGAGATGAAGATCTTGAACTCGCCTCTCAGACTATCGTAATATCGTAAGACGTAAGGTAGGCATTAGCATGAGCTAAACTACATGTGAATTAAGGAAATTAAGGGAATAATGTTTAACTGCTGTTTCTAGGGCAAAATTTGAGCTTATTCGTGAATCGTGATCGCGCGCTGGCGGCGCTGCGCGCGTGCCATCGCCGCCAAGAGTTCGCAACTTCGCGGTTCAAGAATGGCTTTCCACGGCTTGAGAAATAGACTTACGGCTTGAAAATTCGTTATTTCGCGGCTCAAAAAATCCAGTCGCGGCTCACAGAGTAGATCTTTTCCTGACTTGTTTCAAGCCCTTTGAAATTTGTTGTTGAGCACCAACAGCCAGATATAGGCTAGGTGCAGCCTTGCAGGTTTACAGCCTGAAATTACTAATTAGTTTTAAGTGAAATACCAGGCTCATGTGCAGGCATGGAATATATCTACTTGGCGAGCCGCGACTGAATTTTTCGAGCCGTGGTTTTATGGATTCGCCAGCCGTGATTCCATTTCTTCAAGCCGTGATTCCATTTCACCGAGCCGTGAATTTCATATCTCGGCCATGAGAAGCCATTTACGATGCGTGAATTTATTTACAAAGTCCATGCATGTGTTTCCCCAAATCTCAAATTTTACCCTAAAACAGTCAAATGGCAATGATAAAGTTTGTCTTTACTGTAAGTCTGTAAGTTGAGCGCGTGTTAATGCAGTCTGACCACTTTGACATGACCGCAACTATGCGCAATCTTCAACAAACATTTAGTTGATTTGTTTACATTACGATGTTTATGTTTTTTCTGCAGGATATTTTGGCGGGAACGGTAAAGCAATGTGGATTGCGGAAGTTGAAAATTTTATGAAGTGACATGTTTGCGAAGTGCAAACCACGATTTTTCAATCGAACAAAAATTTATGACATTCGAGCCACGAGATTTCATACCTACCTACTGAAATTATATGATATTAGAGCCGCGCAGCGATATTTCAGACAAAAATAGGACTTTTCCAGCCCTGCTCATGTGCAGCTCTTCTGCTCTTGCAGTGCTTCTGCTTGCAGATTGCTGTGTTGCTTGCAGCACAACTTACGAATACTCGTTATTAATTAATAGACAACTAAGACAAGTAGGAACACAACATGCTCAGGCTCCGCTCCGGCATAGTGGCAAACCAGTTAGCCTAGCCATTTCTTAGGCTCAGTTCATTTTTTTAAATTTTCTTATATACTCAAAATTTAAACCAATATCTCATTCTTTTGTATGATGAAGTTGGTATCCAAGACACTTTCCAGTCTTTCCTAGTCTACTTACTAACTTACCTATAGGCTAGCACAAGCACACTTCACACATAGCCTACCTAAATCTGGCTAAATGAACTTGAGGAAGCGTCTAAAAACTTCTCTGCTCTCTGACACTGTAATAATAATCATGACAGGTACAGCGTACAGGATCACATTTTATTTCTCAAATTATTCAATAACAATGAAGAAGATAATACAGCTGTAAGCCTGTAAATAAATCAGGAGTCGAAAAGACATTTCAGAGCGATTGCTGTGTGATGAGCATTTTCTCAATCAATGCCTGAAATCAGGGAACTGCTGAGACGAGCGGCCTCCCGGCAACAGCAAAGCCTCAACCTACCTGAAATTCCCGCTGTTGCGTCGATTTCCAGACATTGGAGAGTCTGGCTCGGGGATATCATCATCATCCACTCCCGGTGCAACAGTTTCACCAGGAGGAGCGTCTCTGCTATCCATCATATCGTCATCCATTGCAAGTCGATGGATCAGTACATCGACATACACACCTCTACAAGTTTGCCAGTACACTAAATGGAGGCGTTCCGTTGCTTCCGCAGACGAATGTTGCCACCATCCAAAACGTAAACTATTTGCGAAAAAAAGTTTGGCGTAAATAAAAATGCACGAAATCTGTATATTTCAGTAATTTCACTTTCACCGTTCTGAAATCAGTGATAAGCTGGACAGATTATTGAGTTTTAATGGAGAATGAAACAAATTAACTATTTGCGTAAATTCGTTTATTGGCTCATTGTCCTAAATAACTTATGTTTCATGTTTGTACGAAAAAAATGTCAGAATTGAAAGTGTTGAAGGTTGGGCAGATCAGTTCAGGAGTTGAGGAGTTCAGTTTGTAGAATTGTCTATTAAGTTTGAGCGTTATAGTTAGCCAGGTAAAAACGTGAGTCATTAAGCTCTCACAAATGTGCTCATACAATCTACTGTTTATGATACATTGATCATACTAAGGCCTCAGGCCCTCCATTCATTGATTTGAAATTCATTGTTGTCCTTTTTCCAGGTGGAGGCTCCATCAATTTTTATAAATGCAATTATTTTTTAAACACAACTACTGAAAGTAACATGCTTCGTTTTTTCCTATATCACGTCAAGAAATTTGAAACAAATCTATGCATTGCCAATATCCTTGGCCAACATCATTCATTAGATTATTCAATTTCCATTCAGTGTTTGTCCTGGATTATTATGTGTACATGTATTTTTTACGTATTTTATCTTCATATTTCAGAAAAATCATTACAAATGTGAGATATCTGAACAGACCACACAAATGCGACGGAACATTATTCTGAGCGTCTTCTCGAAAAAAACTAACTATTCGCAATTACTGAAAAATCGTCAGACTTTTTATTCGGAAAACAAACTTATTTTTTTTGCCGTAATGAAGAACACAGTGTAATGCTAATAGCATATTGCGTAGGCGCTGTACTGAAAATAACCAACTTCGATTAAAACTATTGGTATGATTGCTTTGCGAGACGCTCAATTCAGTGAAAAACGTTAGCATAACCATCAAGGTGACAGGCTCTGCGACTTATGACCTTTCTACACTACAACAATGATTGCGGTGGCAGCGTTTATTAAACCTTTAGACATGTCGCCGATATCGCAGAACATTCACTGCGTGCTGCGGGTCTCGAACACGCAACTCACTGCTCCAATTTAGCTGTGCTTGAACCGCCCGGCCTTCTCGCAGATCCTGACCTACTAGAGGAACTGGGCGCGCAGAGCTGGGATCGAACCCGCACCTCTCTGCTCCAATCCAGCTACTCTGAACTGTAACCACTGAGCCACCCTGCCAGGTTTGTATAAACGATGATACTGATATTAAAGTTTTCGTTGAGGTGAGTATCAATACATAATGAAAGATAATAAATTTTGTATCAGTTCGTTGTCTTATGAAGGAGATCATGGTTGGAACGTCACCCGATATCAGGAAGGCCGCTGGGCTTCTTTGTTGCAGCAGTTTTTATCGCTGCTGTTCCCACAGAAACAACTGGTGCACTGCAGCTCAATGCGCCCTACCACATTGTTCGGCTAACGCATTAACACTTAAGTTTACATTACAGTAATCCCTCAAATATCGCCTATGTAACGTGTCAGACCTCGGCTGCCATAGGCAAAAACCGCAATGGAGAATTATTGATCGACTGATAGTACATGATAAGAAATTTTATTGTAACAGTTTCGCAAGTTTTTATGGGTTTGAGTGTATACAAACCCTTCCCTCACTCATACTGCCAATCGAGTTACGCAAGGTGTTTAAAATCAACCACTCAAAATCTTCAGAAACACGCGAGCCGGCAAAGATTCGTAAATGATTACAGTGTACAACGTATCGAATGCTTCTGCATAAAAAAGTTATCAAAACATATGAAACGTTCGAATATTTTGTTGAATAATCCATACGGTAATCCTGAGATCATGATGCAACAAACGTAACAGCTCAGAGAATATGCCTAAGATATTTTTATCTATTTTCGAATTTCCCTGTCATGTGGGAGATTCGAGACTTGAATTTCTAAAATTCAGTGGTTCCCAAAGTGGGCGATATCGCCCCCCTAGGGGCGGTGGAAAGATTTTGGGGGGCGGCAAGGAAGAAAATGGCGTTAGGGGGGCGATAGGGGGGCGATAGTCCGAAGTCAATGTCAGAAGTTCGAACGTTTATTTGACGATTTGTACACAACATGTGCAGCACATGACTCCCAGCGATGGTTTTTTTTTCACTCAGATCTGTTTTTAACATCTCCTGGGTTTACGTCTCGGACAAATTAACGGCCGGACTCGCGGCCGGTCTAAAGGCCAATTTCCAAATTCAATGATCAAGGAATATCTTTCAAACTAATGAACTTAACTCGATGAAACTTGGTACACGTATTCATTAGGACCTAACGATAATGTTTTGCTCTTGAAAATTGTTCGAATTTTGCCATCGTTTGTTTTTGCCATAGTTATATTGCAATACGGGCCGAAATTTATAGTGATCAAGTAATTTTTTCCGAACTACTGAGCAGATTCGAACGAAATTTTGAATTTACAGTCCTAACTGCCGAACGGTAATGTTTAACTCGTGAAAATTTTTTCGATTGTGCCTTCGTTGCGAGTTTTTTTCACGTTCATTCGTGATTTAAACAGCAATACGTGCTTAAATTCGCAGTAATCATGAAATTTTTTTCCAAACTACTGAACAGATTTGAACGAAACAGTATTTAAATACCTAACCTCAGCAACGGTGATTTTACAATTTGTTCGTTTTGCCTTCGTTTGCGTGTTATACGGCTATACGTATACGGCTCTTGGTTAAACTGACCGGTAGAAAAGCCGGTCGTTCCTCCTATATCTGTATAACTCGCGGACGAAAGCAAAATATAAGTATTGTCACGAGCTAAATATCACCGTTGAGAGGTTAGGTATTTGTATGCAAAGTTTCGTTGAAATCTGTTCCATAGTGTTAAAGATTTTTCTTGATCGCCACGAATTTAAGTGACAAATTACCCGGCGATACGGGCCGAATATAAGGAAGTGTGAAATCAAGAATGGCGGTGAAATGAAAAAACTCGCAAGCGAAGGTAAATCGAAAAAAATTTAATAAGCTAAGAAATCACCATTTGGTAGTTAGGAATGTATATTCAAAATTTCGTTCAAATCTTTTTGGAAGTTACAAATAGTTTGGAAGAAATTCTTTGATCACTGCGAATTTCGGCCTGTTTCGCAATTTACGCGTTACTCGCAAATGAAGGTGAAATTTAAAAAAAATTACGAGCTAAACATCACCGTTAGGTTCTGATGAATACGTGCTCCAAGTTTCATAGAGCTGCGCTCATAAGTTTGGGAGATATTGCTTGATAATTGAATTTGGAGATTGGTCGTGAGACCGGCCACGAGTCCGGCTGTAAATTTGCCCGAGACGTCCTAGGTTTCTAGTGCTGAAACAGTTAAAACAGCTGAAAAACACATTGGGTTAATAAATGGGGTTCTATTTGTGAAATAAACATTTGAGTTTAACCTTTCTCTTTTACAAAAGCAGCGTACTAAATTTCAAGAAAGAGGCGTATGTCTGTGGGGGGCGGTAGAAATTCACTAGGGAGCCAAAGGGGGCGCCAGCCTGAAAAAGTTTTGGAACCACTGTATCTAAATCGTTAGACATTCAAGGAAGTTGAATTAGATTTAAAAACTGTGAATGAAAATGATCATTTTCGATTGCTTTAAACCGAGTAGCTCAACAATTTGAGCTTCAATGAATAACCGAAGTATACGATTTAATAAATTAATCAAGTAAACTATTTATAAATCATGCAACTTCGTCAATAAATCGTGATTCTCTCGCGAGCTGAAGATTTATTGGGGTCACAGCCGGCGCTCTGACATGCGTCTCATCTGAATGCCGTGAACTGAGTGCCATGAGATGGATGCCGTGAACTGAATGCCATGAGATGGAAGCCGTGAACTGAGTTCCGTAAACTGAGTTCCGTAAACTGAGTGCCGTGAACTGAATGCCATGAGATGGATGCCGTGAACTGAGTTCCGTAAACTGAGTTCCGTAAACTGAATGCCATGAGATGGATGCCTTGAACTGAATGCCGTGAACTGAATGCCGTGAGATGGATGCCGTGAACTGAATGCCGTGAGATGGATGCCCGTGAACTGGATGCCGTGAACTGAATGCCGTGAACTGAAAGCCGTGAACTGAATGCCGTGAACTGGATGCCGTGAACTGAATGCCGTGAGATGGATGCCGTGAACTGAATGCCGTGAGATGGATGCCGTGAAGTAAATGCCGTGAGATGGATGCCGTGAACTGAATGCCGTGAACTGGATGCCGTGAACTGAATGCCGTGAACTGAATGCCGTGAGATGGATGCCGTGAACTGAAAGCCGTGAGATGGATGCCGTGAACTGAATGCCGTGAACTGGATGCCGTGAACTGAATGCCGTGAACTGGATGCCGTGAACTGAATACCGTGAACTGGATGCCGTGAACTGAATGCCGTGAACTGAATGCCGTGAACTGAATGCCGTGAGATGGATGCACTTCTGTAAAAGAATATACTCGCTATTTATTACAGTGAACCTACTATCTCCATCTGAATACGGCAAAATGAAATAACGACATTGAACAAGATTGAATTCAATAACAGTGGAAATATTTCAAACGTTGAGAAAATGAGAAACAGTATACACGATTTTTCAAAATAGTGAGATTGAATCTCCTTGGGTATTTATGTCGTTGTACATAGGCACAGTTGTTGGATTAGATGTATCCTGAGAGTACGTTTGTGAAGACAGAATTTGAGCCTCGTATGCATTATAACATACTTAAATCATGAGCATCTATGCGTCATAAAAATGCACTTCCAGGAGGCACCTTTGACGTAATAAAATGAGTGCATTGAAAGGCACGTAGCTGGACGGGCTGCACGCTCCTATATTTCCATGCACAGCAAGTGACAGTCAGGCAACGCTGTGTCTTATGAAATTATTCGTCTTTCCACTTATTTAAATTCGCGACAATTTAATATAGATAAAATGATTTACTTTGTTGTAGCAACTGTTGCTTTTTATGAAATATATTATACATGATAATGGAGTGATAAATCGATTAATAATTAAAATGATTAATTATAGCCATGTCAGGTTTAAGATAAAATAAATAAACCCCAAATGAAGCAATAATTAATTTTTTTTGCACTTATATACCATCAATTTACATGAAGGTCCACACTTCTATCCGGCCCGCCGGGCCTCGGCAGGTGCCTTTTCAGCTTAGGTTATTTCATATCAGTTATTCCATTATTAATTTCTTTGAGATTAAATTACAAGGATGAAATGATTATAGGGTATAGATCTTATACATATTCATAATAGTAAGTACTACCTTAGATTCGAGGCCGTGGTCTGATATGAAGAAACAAAAATGTGCGCGTTAGCACGAACAGCAGCAGCTAGGATACCTCGAGGTGTGGCGTGTTAGCAGGACCAGCAGCCGCGGCTGTAGCTAGGATACCTCGAGGTGTGGCTTGTTAGCAGGACCAGCAGCCGCGGCTGTAGCTGGGATACCTCGAGGCGTGACGTGTTAGCAGGACCAGCAGCAGCGGCTGTAGCTGGGATACCTCGAGGTCAGCAGCAGCGGCTGTAGCTAGGATACCTCGAGGCGTGACGTGTTAGCAGGACCAGCAGCAGCGGCTGTAGCTAGGATACCTCGCGTGGGCTGGTTTATAAGGGCGAGAGGCGCGAAAGCCAGCCATGACAGGAGCGTGTTTTTAATTAGGCAAGTCTTGCTATAGAATATGATTTAATGTCATTTTAGTCAACCAGTCTTATTACGTTACAAATCCTGCACATGAATTAAAAAATTTTCTTTGCTATTAAAACCTGACAACTACGAACTAAAACTGAATATTTACTTTCTTATTTACATGTTTTTTACATTCTTATTTTGCAAGGAACGCTTGAATTTAAGCTAAATTGTTGAATAAAATTTCATGCAATGAACGTCACCTCGTATGGCTAAGGTTTACTCGATGTTCAGTGCGTAATGCATAGGCAATTTTTTTTTGCAGAAATTTGGCTCTATTAACGCTGCAGTTTCACTGCTGTATTCACATGAAAGATGAAACGAGTTAACAAAATTATTCATAATTTAGAACGACATGTTAAACTCAGCGTGAACTGTAAAAAGAGTTTAAATGAATTTAATAAAGAGCAGGATGACCAATGTAAGAATTGCATGAAATTTTTTTTATACAAATAAAGTACAAATACCCAGCAAGAGCATGACGAGCGCCAAGGTCTGGAGACGCGGGCCACACCCATGCTGGTCAAACACGCCACCCGCCGCGTCCTGAGAATGCCTTCAGTTAGGACACGGAAGTCGCGTCGTAAAGTGGAAGTATAGCGTCGTAGAGTTAAGTGTCGTAGAGTTAAGTGTCGTAGAGTTAAGTGTCGTAGAGCTAAGTGTCGTAGAGCTAAGTGTCGTAGAGCTAAGTGTCGTAAAGCTAAGTGACGTAGAGCTAAGTGTCGGAAAGCTAAGTGACGTAGAGCTAAGTGTCGGAAAGCTAAGTGTCGTAGAGCTAAGTGTCGGAAAGCTAAAAGGCTTAAGACTAAATGTCGTAAAGCTAAGTATCGTAGAGCTAAGTGTCGTAGAGTTAAGTGTCTTGAGACTAAATGTCGTAAAGCTATGTATCGTAGAGCTAAATGTCGCAGAGTTAATTGTCTTAAGACTAAATGTCTTAAAGCTAAAAGTCTTAAGACTAAATGTCGTAAAGCTAAGTGTCCTAGAGTTAAGTGTCGCAAAGCTAAGTGTCGTAGAGCTAAGTAAAGCAAAACTAAGTGTCGTAAAGCTACGTTTCGTAAAGCTATGTGACGTAGAGAAAAGGACGCAGAGCAAAGTGTCTTAGTGCAAAGTGTTGTAAAGCAAAGTATCGTTAAGTTAAGTATCGTAAAGCTATGTGTCTCAAGGCCAAGTGTCGTAAAGCTAAGCGTCATGGGGGCTGAGTGTCATAAAGCTAAGTGTCGAAGACATAAGTGTCGCAAAGCTAAGTGTCGTAGAGCAAACTGTCGTGAAGCAAAGCGCCGTGAAGCTATGCATGTGTCGTTAAGAAAGTTTAGGTGGGAATATGAAAAATTTTCAATGAACGAAATAGTATACCTATTTTTTAATTCGGAATGGTAGGTATTATTTTAGGACCAACTGTTTAACAGGAATGTTTAAGGTGAATTGTTTTGCTGTTGTTTGCGTCGATGAGCTCAACAGCTGAAATAAATAACTGTAATACCTAATATGTTATATTATTACATTTAGTTTAGTATGCTAATGTGTGCATGAACTCGATGTTCATACAAAATATTTATTTATCGTAAAGACGATTGAAACCCGAGGAAGTCTACGTCAAATATAACGAACATTTCATTAACAAGGTTTTGTGACACCTTACGGCTCCATTGAGGCCGTCTGGCCATATGGGTTCTAGATAAAAATTTAGACAGATCACTTTCAGTTAGGTCAATTATTGTCAACTGGAAGCGAATGGATGTGATTCAGCGAGGAACGGAGCATTACCTTTAGATCAAAATTAAAGCTTAATATGTCAATATTGAAATGATTTCCCGTGCATTTAATTCCAATTTTATCGGAATAGAAAAATATTCATAAAATCTCGATAACCAAAATTAGACTTCGAGTGATATTTTAAAAGTATTAAAAAGGCCGTACTAAATGATATTTCCTGTTTTGTAATAACAATTTTTAATTTGTGTATATCTTTCCGCACAGACCAATTTCGAGATAATTAAAGATTCAGCCTAGCCTACAAAACCTTTCCCTCTGATAAATTAAATTAACCAAACATTTCGGAGCAATCATGGGCAACAAAGTTGCTGCCTTCACCGAGGATCAACTTGAAGAATATCAGGTGAGATAATCCAGAGTGAGAGAACTGGGCTGAGCGTCTGTTACGTTGCAATTCTATATTCGTAGAGAAGGATTTGTTACCAAACCGCTGTACTCGAGAAAAATGTACAATCAGTTACACGGAAGAGGGAATATGATCGCCCTGTGAGCTCTGAGCGAGGCCGAGGTGACTATTTCGGAGTTTAAATGAGAAAAAACATTCACATTCTGAGTTAACATTCTGAGACAACATTCTGAGACAAACATTCACATTCTGAGTCAACATTCTGAGACAAACATTCACATCCTGAGTCAAAATTCTGAGACAAATATTCACATTCTGAGTTAACATTCAGAGACAAACATTCACATGCTAAGTAAACATTCTGAGACAAACATTCACATTCTGAGTTAACATTCTGAGACGAGCATTCACATGCTGAGTTAACATTCTGAGAAAACATTCACATTCTGAGTCAACATTCTGAGACGAACATTCACATTCTGAGTCAACATTCTGAGACGAACATTCACATTCTAAGGTAACATTCTGAGACAAACTTCACATTCGGACTCAACAGTCTGAAGCAAACATTCACACTCTAAGTCAACATTCTGAGACAAACATTCACATTATGAGTCAACATTCTGGAACAAACTTTTACATTCTTAGTCAACATTCTGAGTCAACAAACATTTACATTCTGATTTAACATTCTGCGGCAAGCATTCCCATTCTGAATCAACATTCTTCAATACACATTCACATTCGGACTCAACATTCTGAGACAAACATTCACATTCTGAGACAAACGTTCACATTCCGAGTCAACATTCTGAGAAAAACATTCCCATTCTGAGGCAACATTCTGCTATAAACATTAAGTAGCCAACAACTGAACACTTACACGACTATTTATGTGTTAATGGTGCAGGAACTGCTCTAATTCTGACGATACTATTATTATGAAGTACTGGGATAAACTACGGTCGGGTACAGTGTCGATCGACATGAGACTGAGACTGTGACACTGAGACTGTGACACTGATACTGTGACACTGAGACTGTGATACTGAGACTGTGACAGTGAGACTGTGACACTGAGACTGTGACACTGAGACTGTGACACTGAGACTGTGACACTGAGACTGTGACACAAAGACTGTGGTCGAAATGTGATGCACTCGCAGTTATTATTGCTAGTCCTGATATCACGTAATAAATAGTTTGCTCGCGAGCATCAAAGCAAGACAAATATTAGTTATGAAATAAGCCCTCACTAAAATTAAGTTATTTTAACAGCTATAGTGAATTGTAATGATGATACTCGAGTTTAAATTGTGTAAAAATAAGGCGTTGAATCCCTTGAACAAGATTCTTGAGCGAAAAAAATAAGATATGAAATTGTTTGATCATATAAATTTAAATTCTCGCTCAGCCTGCATGATAAGCACACTATAATTTTTTTATCGTAATGCATAAAAAAGCAAGAAAGGATGAACATTTCGTGTCTTTCTGGGATATGAAAAACACATCGACTCATTTTTCAATTTTGATTCATCCAACAAACTTTACCTGTCATTTCACTAATTGTGTTGTTCGCACTCTCATTTACCTATTGAAGTCGTGCAAAAGTTTTACCGTTCAATTTTCTTATGCAGGTCTGCACCTATCTGAACAGGCAGAACATTCTCAGGTAAGAACACACTCCGCCCCCCAAATGTTCTCGCTCTAACATGGATTCAATTACAAATCAATCCAAAATCTAACAAAAAATTAAGGTGCTCATGCAATTTTTCCAGTTAACATATAATTTTAGTAGCATCACTAGCAATGCACAGTGTGAAATAATATTTACACTAGGTTATGTTAACAAATAAAAACAATTGAGGTATCTTTCATGTCAAGACTTGTGAGAATAGTTAGAAACGATCTGAAATTAGACAAGATAATTGATATAATGAGCTGCTACGTTTTTAGAAGATACACGTCGCCGATACATGTATGGTCAATTGTTGTTCAATTCTCACGAGGATTTCACTATACCCTTATTAATTCTTGGTCCGCAATTTCAAACTCGTTAATAACTGCGCCATACTCTATTATCCGATCACCGGATAATAATAGAAATAATTCAAGTTGTGCTCGCAATTTCTGCTGAAGATCACAATTGATAGAACGATGACCTAAATATGATATTATAGGATTTCCAATGTCCAGATATATTCGTCAATTAAATCAGGATGAGCCGGCGTTATGACAAACTCTCGGCTACGTGAGGTAAATGTTGGTTGTGCTGTATCATTAAACAAGGGGCATGCTTTGCTTAACCCTCTATCGCCGTATGTCACTCTCCGGGAACATAACTTTCAACTTAAATTATACGTAAACTATTGAGTGTGGCAACATGTGGACGTTTGTACGCAACAGAGAACATTTTAAAGTTGTCATACGGGACGGCAACCATCAGTGCAAGTCATTTTGCGCTCACTAGCAACGTATCCTTTTTGGGAAGTAGGCTTGTGACGATATTGCTCCTGTTACTCATGTCAGGCAGTAGAGGGTTAAGTTCACATAACATTTCACTCGATGGCGCCGTATTGCTTGTACTTTACAGAGCTCACCGACTGTTCCGGCAAGTGACCGGCGGGGACGCGCCTAAAGTGATGAACCGCAACGCTACGGCCACCGTCACGGCTCCCTTCTCGCAGCTGGACAAATTACCGCTACTTAAGGTGAGTCATTGAGTGAGTCAGCGCCTAAGTAGATATGTGACATGACCAATTGCCGCTACTTGAGATGAGTCATTAAGTGAGTCAGCACCTAAGTACTTAAGGTGAGGCAGCCTATAATATGCTATGTTACAGGACCTTTTTCCAATGATTTAGTTAAGGGAATATATAAGATGTGTGACTGGACCAATTACCGCTACTTAGGGTGAAGTAATGTCTAAGCGATTTCTGACAGGACCTATTTACCGCTACCCAAGATGAGCGAATGTCTATGTATAGATGTGTGATAGGACCATTTATCGCTGCTCAAGGCGAAGGAACGTCTAAAGGCCCGTTTACACTAGTGGCAACGACATGCGCTTTGAGTCGTTTGCTGCAGTGCCTCACCGCGCACAACCGTTTACACTACTTTTGTACTCGGTTGTTTGAGACCGCGCGCTTTGAACACTAGTTGCCACCTAGACGTCAATGAGGATGGATGTCACCGAATTAGAGCTGTGGGCCATTGTTCTCGGGTGTGTTGCAGTCCGTCATTCTGCGCACTATGCCATTTGTAAACGAGAACTCAGCATTGGCATCATAATTAGAGAAGTAGCACATTCAAAAACATACAGTTTATAAAAAATATAGTCTATTCTTAAATAAAAAGCTCCAATATTCGTACCGATATTATATCATCCTTTAAAATCGCTAAACGGTAATGCATAAATTGTCAGGGGTTGCTAAAATCACAAAAACTAAACACGTCATGTAAAAATAACTTACATCATTTGCATTTCGATTTTTGTACTCCTTTGACCAAACACTCCATAAGCTTTCATTTTCTACATAAAGATCAATTAGGTTCTCTACTAGAGAGTGACTCCAAACGAGAGTGGTGTTAGTCGACATTTGGTGTGCCGGACCAGCGTACACAATCAACCTTACTAGACCACAGACAGCTATCTACTAACTAAGAATTTAAAAGCAAAGAATAGTCCACAAAAATTTATATCTTTATAGAAAACGTTTCGGAGACCAGCTCCATAGTCAGTTCGTAGAATCTAGAATCATATATTAATACATTGAAACCATAGAACGAATTGAATTTCTTTAATTTAATTTAAATTCTTAGTTAATTTGCGATTTAAGCATACAAGTGATATCAATTCTTTAATAGCTATCTACTAAGCGCCGCGCTTGTGTTGCATGAGGCATGGCCCCTGTCAATCGCTAGCTCGTCAATCGGTAAAGAAGCGCATGCAGAGGCTGCAAAGCGCCTCTGCATGCGCTTTGAGGCACTTGACTCTCGTGTGTTGCCCCTAGTGTAAACGGGCCTTAATAAGTAGACTTGGGATTTGTCGCATGTTTAGGAGGCCTAACTCTTAAGTAGCTGTAGCATAGCATCATTAGAAGATGTAGCTCTCAAGTCGCGATATATGACACATGAACAATGAAAATAACCTGCTCATAGTACATTGCACACTGCTAATACATGGTACGAAGACCGCAGCGTCATTATATTTCACGTTTTAAAAGCTAAGAATAGTCCATAAAAATTCATATCCTTATTGAAAACGTTTCGGAGTCCAGCTCCAACGTCAGTTCGTAGAATCTAGAATTCACATAGAAAGTCATTTTGTGGACTATTCTTTGCTTTTAAATTTTTAGTTAACTTGCGATTTAAGCAAATAAGTGACATTAATTATTTAACGTTTTAGTACATATGCATCTCTGTGCACTGCATCTCATTTAACATGACGTTAATTATCTCCACCTTAAATTGTCGATCATTCAAATGAAATTTTCACAGGATTTACAAGCTACTAATTATGTTGACGTCTTGTGCTTTAATTTTCATCTATTTGAAAGCGGAAACACATAATGTGACCTTAAAATGGAAATAGGGATAAACGCAGTGAAATTTAAATGTTTCGAAGAAGTGAAAAAAATATTGATCTCTTCAGACGTACTGCTATACTTCAGAACTGACTGCCGTTGGCTTCAGATTTGCATGTTTGGCAAAAAAACATGAAACAATAAATTGCATTACTAAGAATAAAGATAATAATTGATTTAAAATTATTGGACTTAAATTAGTTGTATCTTCGTGTTAAGGGTAAACAAGGGTGTCACTTTTTTCAAAACATGACCCATGGATTTTTTCTGACTGAGTAACATTAAAAAAATATGATTAACATTTGAATGCTCGACAGGATAACCCCTTCCGACGGCGTATCTGCCAGGTGTTCTCTGAGGACGCGTCAGGCAATCTCAACTTCGACCAGTTCCTAGATTTGTTCTCTGCTTTCTCCGACGCGGCGCCACGGGAGATCAAAGTGGTCTACGCTTTCAAAATATACGGTCAGTAACACCCAGTTCAATGCCAGAGATTGGAAAGTGAAGTGGTCTACGCTTTCAAAATATAAGGCCAGTATCGTCTGGTTCAATGACAGAGATGAGAAAGTGAAGTGGTCTACGCTTTCAAAATATACGGTCAGTATCGTCTGGTTCAATGCCAGAGATTGGAAAGTGAAGTGGTCTACGCTTTCAAAATGTACAGTCAGTAACTTGTTCAATGCCAGAGATTGGAAAGTGAGCTTAAATCGTACGCTGAGTTAAATTCTCTACAACTCAATGCCGAATTATTATAGTATTCAAAATTTGTTAACAGAAAATTATTTAAATCGGCAGTGATGGGTGGTGATTATTTTGTATTCCGCAAATTAAATTCGCATTCGAGAAAACTCTGATAAAAGGATTATTCCTCTTACTTTTTGTGATCACTTACATGGAGGCAAATCTTGCCATTTGGGTAGTGATTTCTATCTCTGCTTTATTTTCTTTTATTAATTTTTCTGTGATTTTAAAAATTTTTTACTTGTGTGTCATTCATCTACTATTAATAGGAATTTTGGACCATAAAATAGATTTCAAATTGTATTGTTTATTTTAAGTTTTCACGTTAAGAGTTGTTCACGTGAAATGAACAGAATTGACAGAGTTTAATTATGTTCAAGATCGAATGATACGCAAGAAGTCGTCTATAATATCAACTCTGAGCTTTGTTTTTAAATAGCGTTTGGTTCTAAGCCAAAGAGAATAGGTAAATTTAATTATTTAAAATGTTTTTTAATACTGAGATGTAAAAGACCCAAATTTGTCTCGTATAAATCTGTTTAACTTTGCGATTTGAAGACGAGATCCAGCAGAAATAAGGCCGGTATGCGATTAATAAAAATATTATTAATATAAAAGCAAAGGTATCTCAGGTTCTTACAAAAAATATGTAATGTAAATTGAATTTTCCATATTTTTATTTGAAAACTTGAACTTCAAGGTTAAGATGTCTTATATGCTGGAACGAATAGGCTGCGTTCACGGAGAAAATTCCAGTGACCTATTATATGATCACAAGTCTAAATTAACAGTAAGAACTGACAGGTGTAAAAATTTATTATCTTTGGGCGTGGTTGCTGTGGAATTCCTTACTTTAATTACATTTATTTATATATTCTTATATATTATTTTATTTATTTTATTTAGTTATTTCAAAAATATCTTACTTATTTTCTCGGTCCTCCAGACTTCGACGAAGACGGTTTCTTAGGAGGAGAGGATCTCCTAGCGGCGGTCCAGCATCTCACGCACGGCCAACTCTCGCCCGAAGAGTGCAACAGCGTCGTTAAAAAGGCGAGTTATCGAGAAAAAATTAATTGTTCATGGAACAACTAACTGTTCATTAGTTAATTAAAAAATTAGCGAGTTGTTCGTCAAAAAGGTGAATTATTCTAGAAAAAATTAGTTGTTCATGGAACAACTGACTATTCATTAATTAATTGAAAAATTAGCGAGTTGTTCGTCAAAAAGGTGAATCATTCGAGAAAAAATTAGATGTTCATGGAACAACTAACTGATCATTAGTTAATTACAAAATTAGCGAGTTATTCGTCAAAAAAGCGAGTTGTTCGAGAAAAAATTAGGCTTTACTACAGCTAAAAAAATAAGGCTTTACTACAGCTAAAAAAATAAGGCTTTACTACAGCTAATATTCCTTATTACGCAAGTTATTTCTTATCTTGCTTAATTGCCGCTAAATTTGTTGGGCTTAGATACAAAGTTATGTCTAATGAATTAACACTGACAGATCAATAAATCTGCAGAGCTTCTGAATTAAATATTCAGACCAAAGGTTTACTTATGAAAAATTAGGATAAAAACTTCACATTTAGCTTAAATAATAATTTTGTTACCTAAAACTTAAATTTTCTTAAAATTAAGTATTTATATTTTCTAAAGCTTTAAATGATTATCCTAAATTCAGAATATCATGGTTTTGTTCTGTTCATCAGTCCTTCTCAAGACATTAATTTCGTTTCTCGAGATTCTATTAATTCCCTGTCGATCAGAAATCGTGACCTAGATGGATGGCGTAGCGCAATCAATGACAATCAATGCAGTAAAAAAAATGCAGTAATTCTTTAGAACAGCAAAAATTTACCCCGTCATTCAAAAACGCACTCATATCATATTAGTTACATATATACATCACAAACTAGCTTTTTTTATCCAATTTTAAATAGGACACACTCAACCCTACCGCTAATCGCGGTACCCTATAAATACTCTCGGCCATTCAGTGCACATGCAGTTTTTTTAATTTTAAATAGGATACACTCAATTTTAAATAGGATACACTCAACCCTACCGCTAATCGCGGAACCCTATATAAATACTCTCGGCCACTCAATGGACATGCAGTTTTTTTAATTTTAGATAGGATACACTCAAACATACCGCTAATCGCGGTATCCTATATAAATACTCTTTGCCACTCAGTGCACATGCAGTTTTTTACTTTTGAAATAGGATACACTCAATTTTAAATAGGATGCACTCAACCCTAACGCTAATCGCGCTATCCTATAAATACTCTCGGCCACTCAGTGCACAATTACGCCTCATCTCTTCCATCGTACAGTGCAGAAGTATTAACCTCTCTGCGCGGCTTCAAATATGAATTGCGTCTCTTTAAACGCATGATTATTCATCAATTAACTGTATTCGACCAAAAAATTGCACAATGAGAGCCTTTAATAACAGAGTTTTCAAGGTTTCAATTACAGAGAGTATGCCGGATTAGAAATTGCGGTCCCAGATCGGCATCGAGGTTTGCGTCGAGGGCTATTACCCGCTATCTCATTACGTCCAAAGTGATACATTGCACTTACGTGAAAAATTCATATTTGAAAGCCGTTATAACTAAGCGACCAAACTATAAAAGAAATGAGCTTGTTAAAAAAATAGCTAGTAAAAAAATAAAATGAGAGACGATTAGATAGCAGTGAATAGATTAATGGCCAATTTTAATGCGATTACAGCCTATTTTAATGCATTGATTAGTAATTACCAACACAGTGATAGATTAATCGTTAATTGTTGATATATAGAGGCCACGCCGTTCGGAAATGGCTGTTATTTTACTTAAATTTAACAAGCAAGAAGGGACGGTTGAAAGGAACCCTTCTTTGCGCAATGCTATTGATGAAAGTCCATAGGATTTTTTTAGGAATTTTAATAGTAATTTGTGCCGTCAGCGTGAAAAATATTGATTAGAAAATTAATATAGATAATAATTTAAGTACTGATAGAGAGCTGAAAATTTGAAATTAGCCAGTACATGATATATCTATCAAAGCATGGTTTTGTTAAATTTGAACTCAAGGTTTAATTATTTATACGGTACAGTTAACTGGTCGATCGGAAAGATTGCCCTGATCACCTCACTGACTTGGCAAGAAATGACAATCAACGAGCGAATGAATTGCTCCACTGGGCATCCAGCAAAATAATAGAAATTAATATTCCCGAGATAGACATTTTAAAAGACGTTCACTGAACATTATATATATTATAATTACATGATTTATTGTGATTCTCAATTGCAGGTGCTAGAGGAAGCAGACTTGGACTGCGATGGACGTCTGTCTCCATCAGAGTTCTCTCACACGATCCTCAAGTGCCCGTACTTCCTACAGAACTTCAAACTCCGCGTGTGAACAGCAGAAGACATCCTCAGCAAGGGTGGTGGACATGTTCACTATAACATTCATGAGTATATGCAGCTACAGAGAGAGAGACATGCTCTTTTTTTTTGTTGCGTGGCTAGGAAAGAAGATGCCTAGTCTAGAGTGAATGAAAGACTTGTTCATTTATGCTGCTAGAGTGACCTGAATATTTTGGTGTTGGCAGCAAGAAACTCGATCATATGAGGTGGGCAGTGCATGTTGTACAGTGTACACAGTGGACAATTCCCAGATGAAAATAAATTCAAATGGTCTATCATCAATTATTTTATACAGGCTGGAAATTTACTTTAATGGGATAAATTGGGAAAAAAACTCACGTTCATTGACGAAGTTTGGTTCCCCCAAATATAGCAATTGTTATCACACTAAGACTGTTCTAATATTTTAAGCAACTAAACAAGAATATTTGAGCCTTGTCGTGTTATCATGCACTAATTTCGAATATAACGCACGTAAACTTTCATTTAATAATATGTGATAGTAGCCTCTTCATTTCTTATGGTAATTAACCTCGTCAACAGAAACTTGAGTAATGTTCAGCACTCGCATCCTACGAGGAATCAATTCATTTGCGTTTCCTAAACTGGCATCAAATTAATTGTTATATACGCCTCTCGTACGCGCGTGCAATTTATTTCACTGCGTCACCGTAGCTTTGTAGAGGTCCCTAAGGTAGAAAGTCGGAAAAGTACACCAAGGTTAGGGAAAGGCTAAGAAACGACTGAAGGATGTGAGACAAGTTTATTGGTATAGTGATGGAGATGAACTGACAAGGAGTGAAACGACTATGACAAAGTTAACATAAGAATGAACTGTTTCTTAGGTGGTTTGATTCAAGATGCCAGGCGGGATGTTGCTAAAGCTTCATTAACGATGTCCAGCTCCACTCAGCTGTCCTTGTTGTATACCGCACCCGGCGCCTTATAGCGTGCAAATAATTTTACGAACGATTTTGTGGCAAAACGAGAATAATACATAAGAATTAAACTGAGTGGTTCTTGATGGATAGACTGATAATTTGCTAGTGTAGGCCTCTATGCCAAATTGTCTACTAAATAAGTGCAGGTCTTACAACTTTCTCAAATACATTCTAAGCGACTACCGCTCGGTATATTTAATCATTGGCACCATATTAGTATATTTGATAATAGAATTTGTTTACTTGAAGGCCGAAGGGCAAACGCAGAGTCATAAAAACAAAAGGTCGTGTCATCATGAACTCGAACATATATATGGTGGATTCATTAATTGGTTGTTGACATCTTCGCCGTCATATCAGGAGGCCTGCGTATTTTCTCATTAATTTTTGCTTGTCGCAGCTTCCACCACAACAGACCATGTGCATCATTGCAGGATAGAGCAGATGAGTTGTTTAAACTTGTGTTCATTTTTTGTATCGGGGTTAGAGAAATTAAATATAATGTTATCATACTCATTTATTCTCTGCAATAATACATAGTTTCCCGCGAGCAATGGGACAAATTTAACTATAATTCAAGAGGTCAATTGCGCGACATTTTGCTTAGAGTTCACTGCGTTGCATGTTTTCTTATCTCTAATATTATCGAGTTGGAAAAAATGAATGTTTTATCCGAAGTCATAGAATTCTTTACGTGCAGAGCTAAAATAAATCATTGATCGTCCTCGCGTCCTCTGGTGTATTTATAGCATTGCATGATCATTAAACGTTTGCAGGTATTTTTTTGCGTTAGAGAAGCGATGTTGTCAACGACGATTCAGTCGTGGGTGTTGTTTTCCCTCTCCAATTATCGAGGTTATCGATCGTGATCTGCAGGATGGAACGATAGATCAATCAAATGATCGTTCTGATGCAATTCATGTCAAGTCCTCTATACGTTCTCCTCATGCACAATAAAAAATATTGTCAGGATTCCATCGTCGAAACTCTGAAGTGCTATTTTCTTGTCCTATTGAACTAATATATACAACGGATTACGCAATTCTGCACCACATGGTGCATTAATTTCTCTATTCTATTTCAACATGTCCAACATCATGAAACATTGAAAACATTATATAAAATATAAAACTCTTGCCTTCTCACTAAAGCAACAATCATAAATCACTGCTTAGACATGTTACAGGCATACTTGAATAATAAACTGTTTAAAAAACAATAAAATGTTCACAAATGTTTGATGCAAAGTTTGAATAAAGGAACAATATTCATTTCTGGTATCTCATAGACAATTAAGTTGCTAGTGCAATATCACTCACGTTGCTCGTGACGTCTGCGAGAGTGAAGTTCCCGATGCGCGAAAAAAAGAAAATTTCGGCTTCCAGCGCGTGCTTGCGGTTAGCTTCTTTCACGAATCCGTGGTACTCGCCTACGGGGATTTTACAACACAACGTTTAGGTTTACTCGCGTGAGAGTAAATCTTGGTTAATCTGAATCATGAGCTCATAAGATAATTGAGCTCAAAGTGCTCATCGATTTGCAGTGTTGATTACTCAGTGTATAAAATTTTCAAGGATGTGGCATTCAGCTCTGATTTACATAAAAAAGAATTGCATTAGTTTTGTGCTTATTGTGAATTAGCGCGAAACTAATGAAATTTCTTCTTGCGCCAAATCACAAGAAGCGACGACAAAATGTTGAGTCTCATTAGGATGAACCTCACCTTGATACAAGACAAACGCAGTAGGTATTCCGTTCTTCTTGACGACATTGTACATGTTCTCCGCTTGATCAACGGGCACGATCTGGAGTTTAAGGAAATAACATAAACGTTTCTTGCCTTATCATACGTATAAGTTTAAGAAAATAATATTAAAGTTTATTGTTCTATCATAAGGACAATTGCATTTTTAAACACATCTGCGTGATAAATATGTTCTTGTATACATATGAATACATTGGATATTGATGTTTCATAAAAAGTTAGTATTAAATATATTAATGCCTCCAATCGTTATACTCTAATTTTGAACTGAGAGGCGTGATCCACGATTTTCGAGCTTTGACATCTTATTTATTACACATTTTCGCTGACGACATATTTTCAATTGAACACGTATTTGAAATAAATAAATATTGAGCACAACTCAACATTTTACGAAACAAACTGAGTTAACCATTGCAACTATTAATTTATTAAAACTTTAAACCGCATAGTAAGGGATCTTCGACCATATGCAAATTATTATACACATAGAAGGTAAATTCATATACTTATATTTCTTACAAAGATGATCCAGTAAGTCATACGTAATTTTTTATTTGATCGTTTAACATTTTCGATCTTAACTCATAGAAATCAGGATCAGGGAAATACATAGGAAAGCCTCTTAGAGGATATTCTCATGGGAATAAAAGTCAATAGTAACTAATAATTTGGAATCATATTACAAGTATATTAAAATAAGTACGATGATAATTATATTAAAAAAAATTATTATTATTAATAAATATTATTATTATTATTAAATATTAATTATTATTTATTTATATTATTATTAAATATTATTATGATAATATTTATTATGTTATATTATATTTATTAATAATAATGTTTATTTAAATATTATTATTATAAAATATTAATATTATTATTATTATTATCAAACGATGCTCACCTTGTCTTCTGATCCCTGGAAGAATATGATGGGTGTGGCCACCTTGTCGGAATGGAAGAAGCCCGAGCGATCCTCGTAGAGCGGTCCAGACACAGCGCCAACTAATCCCTCCAGGTAGCGGGACTCAAATTTGTGTGTGTCGTTGCTCAGGCCTCGCAGGTCGGAGATGCCGTATAAACTGGCGCCTGTAACACCGCATGGATGAATTTAAGCTCTTGTTACATTTAATTCATATATGTAGATACTTACAGGACGATTGCAGTTCATCAAATTCATGTCATTCAAACGAAGAGCATTGCGCGAACTTGTGTGTGTCTTTGCTCAGGCCGCGCAGGTCGGAGACGCCATAGAAACTGGCGCCTGTAACACCGCATGGATGAATTCAAGCTTTTGTGTTACGCTTGTGAACGATGAACTTCGTTCACTATTGGCCGTGTTCATTTTATCTCGTGGGCATACCGAAAGCCACATCTAGCGTAGCCGCCTTAGTAACATTTATGTCGGACCTTACTTGGGCGGTAGCGACGTAGCGCAAGGTCAGGTCTGAGCGGCTGTGAGTCAGGTAGTCAGTCGTGTCCCGCCAGCCATACAGTGAGGTTCATACCTGAACTCACCTCGCTCCGTTGCTCCACTAGCCATCTTGTGCTCCAACGCTAGTTTGTGTGGCTGTGCTCTGTATGCTCCATCAAGCAGTGTAATGTCCATCGTGCTTGTACTGTTATTCTTTAAACGTATCCCTTTGAAGTTTTATTTATCCCTTTGAAGTTAGTTTTATTTCTATGCTGAAATAAAACTAAGTATTACCGTGTTAACCGAAGTTTTAATGAACGGAATCCTAGTGCAATAAAGTGCAATCTAACTTTTTACAAGATAGTTACCGACGTTTGGGCGTAACTCTGAGATCGTAAGTTCATCAGCCAATCATTGACGGCCTTTCAAGCAAAATTCACCAATCATAGACAAGAAAATAGGGCGTAAGTACTTACGTTCACTAAGCGAGTTTTGAAAGTATGGCCCCTGATCATTCTGACAAGTTTAAAGGTTGCGGCCGGCGTCCGGTGACACGTTCAATTCATACATGTAGATACTTACAGGAAGATTGCAGTTCATAAAATTCATGTAATTCAAACGAACAGCATTGCGTTTATTATTTACTGAACTCAGTTGCCAAATGCATGCACTCGTGATTTAAAAAATCTCATATAGAATGAAAACTGACTGCTGAAAGATCATTGTACTGATAAAATATATTATGTTATTTCCGCATATTTGTCACATATCCGGATGGAATTACGGTATGGCAGCACGATGGTTGAGAGATGGTATAGTTGTGAGTGTGGTCCTATAGGCGTAAAGCAGCGGCAAAATAGCCATCATCATTATGAACCAACGTAAGATTCGTAAACGGTCGTCATTAAGAACCAACATAAGTGTTATAAATGATCGTCATTAAGAACCAACGTAAGTGTCGTAAATGGTTGTCATTGAGAACCAACGTACGTGTCGTAAATGGTCGTCATTAAGAACCAACGTAAGCTCTGTAAATAGTTGTCACTAAATAAGGACTAACGTAGGTGTCGTAAAAAGTATTTAAGAATCGACGAAAGTGTTGTAAATGGTCGTCATTAAGACGCAACGTACGTATCGTAAATGGTCGTCATTAAAAACCAACGTACGTGTCGTAAATTGCCGTCAATAAAACCCAACGTACGTGTCGTAAATTGCCGTCAATAAAACCCAACGTACGTGTCGTAAATTGCCGTCAATAAAACCCAACGTACGTGTCGTAAATGGTCGTCATTAAGGACCAACGTAACTCTGGCAGCAAAGTTTGGGTGCCGCACCTGCGGTGAAGAAGTTGGTGAAGGTGACGGCAGAAATTGTGGTGTAGCCTCCAGCGGAGGGGCCTGCGATGAAGATATTCTTAGGGTCCACGACGTCATCCTTGATGAGCTGCTCAGCGCCAGCCACCACGTCATCCAAGTCGTAAACTCCCCACCTTAAGCACGAGAAAAACTTAATAGTATTACTATTCTTATTTAAAATGAAATACATCAGGAGTTTTAGATCCAGCAGAAGTGTCGGTGAATAATGTTATCGGAATAATGAACTATATGATAGAGTCGTAGAATTGTGAAAATAATGGACAACTAATGATGTCGAGGAAGTCAAGAATATAATATTGCTGTCCGAGTTTATTTTCATTTGTAGATCATCCTGTGCATTCGCAATCCTTCTGCCGTGATATATTCCAATAAACCACATTGACCTGAAACTTTTGACGGAGTAAAAGCCAAAGAATGCGTCTGTCTGTCAATGAATGAGTCTGTTTGGGTCTATACAAGTTCGACTTTTTCACTAGGTACCCAGTGAAAATTTACAGACGCGGCAGCTTCTGATTTGGATTACCAGAAGCTGGGGCGACTCTAATTTTTTAGGGTAAATGTTCAAGTTTAATTGCCTACTCACTTGCCCTTGAGGAGGTTCCTGTAACGGGTGCCGTAACCTGTGCTGCCGCGGTAGTTTCACTAGGTAAATGCTTAAGTTTAATTGCCTACTCACTTGCCCTTGAGCAGGTTCCTGTAACGGGTGCCGTAACCTGTGCTGCCGCGGTAGTCGACATCGAGCAGCGCGAAGCCACGCGACGTGAAGAACTGCACGTTGAGGTTCAGCACCGGCTTGGCGCAGGCGGTCGGCCCTCCGTGTGTGTGAACTAGCAGAGGCGGCCGAGCGTCGGCCGGACCTTCATACTCGCCGTTCTAGACACGCAATACCCAGTGAAAATTTACAGACGTGGCAGCTTCTGATTTGGAATACCAGAAGCTGGGGCGACTCTAAATTTTTTTAGGGTATGAATCCAAAAATTATTGGCAATACAGTGTTGACCTATGGTTTCTTTATTGATGACTTGTATTAAGATACTTCGAGGTTAATTGATTTTAATTTAATTTTTTATTTGTTTTCTTATAAAACAAAAATAGATGTCAATGAGCATCTCAATGAAAAGTTAATTCATATTGAACTTACAATTTTGGCCGAGACCGTCAATTAAATATGACTTTAATTAAAATTTCATCTTCTATTTTATTTTTCACATTTTATTTAAAATAATATAACAACATTCTATGACGTAGCGTTGAATGCTTAAAATATCTTAGTGACGGCTCAATAAGGCTGCACTGAAATGACTCTAAAGCTGAACTCTGGAATTTCCTACATATTCTAACTTGAAACCTGTAATTTCATAAATAATCAAGTTCGAAATTGCAAAATCCCGAGCTATAATGTCTAGTTTCTAATGCAGAAAACGACTGGAGCGTATACCTAGTCCAATTCTATTGTGGTATGTAAATGGAAGACCCATTGATAAAACTACGAAAACAAATTAATTAACAAAAATACAAAGTAACATTTACTTCGATGCTGAAGCATTAATTTCAATCCAAACATGAAACTCTTTACCACGAGTTTGAATGTGGGGTACAAAGTCCAGAGAGAAATAGGAATTTTATATCCGTGTGAGGATCTGACCTGAGGCAGGTAGAGATATCCGTAGGCTGTCATTCGGTCCGTTGTGTTGAACTGAACGTGGGCAGGCACGCTGATGAATTCATCAGAAAACGGCAAGGGATCGTCCACTAGGCGTCTGCTGGCGCCTGTGTTCACGTCTACTTCTACTACAGATAAAGAGCGGCGACCATCTCCTGCTACGGTGTAAATCTGTGGAAAACATTTACAAAAATTTGTAGTCTTTGAACGAATTCATCAGAGAATGGCAAGGGATCGTCCACCAGGCGTCTGCTAGCGCCTGTGTTTACGTCTACTTCCACTACAGATAAAGCGCGGTGACCATCTCCTGCTACGGTGTAAATCTATGGAAAACATTTACAAAGAATTTGTAGTCTTTGTCAAGTGCAGGTTATCCAGGTGGGGTACGGATTGTAATAACTCTGACTATGTTGAAATCTTGTTCAACAAAATTCCGTCATTTTGAATCCCACCATTCCGAATTCGGTCATCCCGATTCCACCATTATCCTGAATCCAATTAATATTTTGAAAATAATTCTATTCAAACCCACATTTAGCGCGGAATTTTCTTTTAGGGCTGTTAAAGATAACATTTGAAGGAAATTTCATATTTTCAAATTAAAATTAGTTTTGCAGGGGTAAAAAACAAAATCAATTTTTAAGTTTTAACATTTTTTCGATGTCAGATGTTTCAGTCATTAAAATAAATTAAAGGTAAATTTTCTGACACGAAAATCATTTTCGAAACGTGTCCGGCCGAACAGTACCTATATGCGTATTTATGTGGTGCCAGACTTCGCTCACAAATAAATACATAAACTTTAACAAATATATGCGAGCAAATTCGGAATGATTGTTCAGAAACGTTAGTAGAGTTCCTCTCTTCTATTCTTATGAGAAAATTGAGCAGTTTGACGGTCAAAATCGGGCTTTTTTCGAAGACTGAATTTCTGGATGAGCTGGGTAACTGGAATGGATTAATTCATATTCACATATCTCAATTTAAATGACCATTTTTGCATTTATTGATGTTTGAGCATGTCGAAACTTAAATTGAAAATGGAGCGAATAATGTAATTTTAGCCATGTATAGTGTAATAATGTGGCTCATGGAGTAGATCATTATTGGCTTTATTTATGTGCCTCACCTTCTTCCCGTCGTTGGAGTAGGTTGCTCCTAATAAATAGAAGGCTCCGTGGCCTGTGTCCAGAGTCCGACTCTCGTAGCTTTTGGTGTTCACAATTCGTAGCTCCTAAGAAATTAATTAATGTAGAATTTTATCAACACAACACAAATTTCATGGCAGCATGGGTGCTCCACAGTGCCGTCCTCATCAAGTGAACTTTAAAAAAATTTCGTAAAGACTATATTATACCTACTCCTTTTCGACCTAAATATTTTATGCTGTTTTCTATGCCGTCAAAAATGTCAGAAAATACTGCAGAAATAACGTGACCGCTGGTGGTAACGGCAAAAACCTTTAGTAAACATTAGCAACGTCCGACGACAAATGTTTAAAGAAAAGTCAACAATAAATCGATGACGAATATTATTTTCCGCCCAGCAAATCGGCTTCTACATCACTGCTGTCTTGTACGTCGTTATTTGTGGTCGTACACTTTATCGCAACTATAATTTTTGCCTGATAATTCAATGGCCTAATTAATAATTAGATAAATAAGAATTTTCTTTGAGCGCAATCAACTGAATACACATCTCGCTCGGTCGCCTAACGAATTCGCTGAACTCGGCTTTACTGCAGAAACATAAATTTGCCCTGGTAAAACATTTTCAATTTAGATCCAGAATTTTTGCGGAAAGTTTGTTTTTCAATGGAAAAAGTTTGTGGCGCTCGAAGCGATGCAACGCTGCAGCAGCCACAAAATGATTTAGAAAAATTAACGATGAAAAGTTTATATATAATTCGGTGAAACTCTTCGCTGGCCCTCCTGAAGCCATTTCATAGCAGACACGTTCACTGGTCAAGTAGGAGAGATGCCATAGTGGAATAACTGGGCGTAAATAAAATTTAGTAGTTCGGCACTAAAATTCTGGTGTAAGACAAGCTAAAGGATTTAAATTGTCTTTCACGTAGTTTTCACAAATAAAATTGTGCTTTCATTGAGTTATAAGTAAATTAGTTATATTGAAAGGCTAGTGAGCAAATAGAGGGCTCATTGGAAGAAAAATTAATCTATAGTACTTGGCTAATAAATAATGTTTAAATTGTTATTTCAACGTTAGTTCATTCTTATATGTATGTTTATATATCGAGCAATATTAATTTCTAAAGCCACACAATATAAAGTTAACTATTAAAGGAAATTTAGCACCGCATCTCTATACTAAAATATTATTCTTTGGCGGAGTATTAAATTAAAAAGAAGGCTGGTGTAATAAAGGTTAACTGAATGCATGGCAGATGCGAATGAGCAATTAACTTGTAGCATCATTCAGAGCAATCACTTGCCTTGAAACATTACATGCAAATAGTTTATTTTTTATGCCTTCCTTAACATTGAAAGTAACTCCTAACAATTTTAGCTCTCTAGGGTACGGGAAAATAATATTTGTAGTTTGTATTGCATCACTGAAATGTCACATGCTACCACTGAATGAGTTACTGAAAGGATTACTGCAAGGGTTACTGAAGGTGTTACAAAAAAATTACTGCATGGGTTACTGAAGGGGTTACTGCATGGGGCTACTGAAAGGGTTACTGAAAGGGTTACTGAAGGGGTTGCTGATGGGGGTACTGAAAGGGTTACTGCACTGGTTCCGGCATGTGTTACTGAAGGTTTACTGAAGGGGTTACTAAAGGGGCACTGAAGGGGTCACTGAATGGGTTACTGATGGGGTTACTGAGCAGCAACCTGCAGAAGAAGCTACAGAGCAACACTCTGGAGAAGAAGCTACAGAGCAACACTCTGGAGAAGCTACAGAGCAACACTCTGGAGAAGAAGCTACAGAGCAACACTCTGGAGAAGCTACAGAGCAACACTCTGGAGAAGAAGCTACAGAGCAGTACTCTGGACGAGCTGCTGAAGGCTCACCCGCCCCACGATGACGACGACCTCGTGGGCGCCGATGACGGGGTTGCTGTCGAACGCCTGCCAGCCCAGCCTGCGACCGGCGTACGAGTTACAACACTTAAACAAATGGGTATAATTGTACAAATTGTGACGCACTTTCTTACCCACAACACAAGAAGATCGCAGACGTACCACCAAAAAGCCGTGCGACTGGGGCACGAGTTACAACACACAAACAAATGGGTCTTATTGTACAAATTGTGACGCACTTTCTTACCCACAACAAAAGAAGATCGCAGACGTACCACCAAAAAGCCGTGCGACTGGGGCACGAGTTACAACACACAAACAAATGGGTCTTATTGTACAAATTGTGACGCACTTTCTTACCCACAATACAAGAAGATCGCAGACGTACCACTGAAAAGCCCGTTTGCCGGGCCCAACTAGATCAAGATGACCTACACAAGAGCAAAAACTGTAGAGATATTTGGACTAAGTCTCACTCATACCAATAAGCAAAAATTTAATTTTAAGTACGTTTTTGTATAATTTTTCCTACAAAAATGATTTATTTTTAAGAAATCGTGTCAAACGAAACGAGTGAAAAATGTATTCGCAAGATGCCATTTTGGAACATCGCAAGTGAGGAATTTGAATCGGAATAACAAAATAGATTTAAATTTTATGTTAGTAGCAATAGGAAAGTAAATATTGTAAAATTTAAAGTTGGAAACTTACCGTTTGATTCTAAAAATGTTGAATGAGATACAGAATTGTGTTCAATAACTTATGGGAATAAAAATTATCTGTGTTCACTTTTCTTTCTAATTGCACCTCGAAAATTGAATTGCACTAATGCGATGAAGCTTGTGTCTTATACAGCAAGATTGGTCTTTAGTCATTGTTATATCATTATTATTAATTTAAAAAAGTTGACCTTAACACGTATTTATTGCTCGTGATTAATTTACTGATATAATGCCGATATTATTTGGGAATTCATTTTAACTTCAGTTTGCCGAGAAATTCATGCATTTATTGCTTCGTAAGTGGCGCGCGCTATATGTTTGAGCTCCAATTATGATGGAAGTGTGCGGGTTGTCGTTGGTAACCTCGAATAAAGAATTATTTATCTCTGCAGCAGTTACAAATTTTTTTTATAAATTTACCCGCGGTGCTGAAATGCGTTCATCAGCACAGATACTTTTATATATCAATGTGTTCATCAGCACAGATACTTTTATATATCAATGCGTTCATCAGCACAGATACTTTTACATATATCAATGTGTTCATCATCACAGATACTTTTATACATCAATGCTTTCATCAGCACATATACTTTCATATATCAATGTGATCATCAGCACAGATACTTTTATACATCAATGCTTTCATCAGCACATATACTTTCATATATCAATGTGATCATCAGCACAGATACTTTTATACATCAATGCTTTCATCAGCACATATACTTTTATATATCAAGGTGTTCATCAGCACAAATAGTCTTATATATCAATGTGTTCATTAGCACAGATCCTTTTATATATTAATCACAGCAGAAGAGGCATTAATAAATGGCTGCTGATAGTTGTCGGTATTTAATAAGCTTGGAAACAACTATTAATCTATTAACATATTTAGATGAAAACGACTATTAATTTATTAATATATATAGATGAAGAGGATGTAAGAGCCACTCACATCCAGCTTGGCCAGCCGACCTCCCTGGACGTAGGCGTTAGGTTGGCCTCAGCGCCCTGTCTGTTGACGATGTAAAGGTTCCACCAGCCACTCAAGTCGTGGATGTACAGCAACTCATGGTGCTGGTTCCAGTTCGGGGTCATCATGCTGCACGAAACTTGTTAGTTCTTATTGCGTATTGTATAATCTGTATCTTTGGCTATAAATAAATACTCCTAAAAATCAACGATGTAAAGGTTCCACCAGCCCACTCAGGTCGTGGATGTACAGCAACTCATGGTGCTGGTTCCAGTTCGGGGTCATCATGCTGCACGAAACTCGTCAGTTCTTATTGCGGATTGGCATTGTATAATCTGTATCTATGGCTATAAATCAGGTATAATAAATATATAATATATCAGGTATAATAAGTTCTTCTACTCCTAAAAATCATGTATGTTTAAGTTTCGTATCATATGGAAATTTGTTTTGTTGCGTCAATATATGGTAACAAAAATCGGCGCAAAGCAATGGCATTGAGTTTGACATCTTAAACATGTCCAACTAATTAACTTGTTCGTTAAATTTCATGATTTTTTCATCTAACAAACCAATTAAGGATGAAGGCTGTGAACTGTGCGGGCTTTCCTTAACCAACAATGAGCGAGCGGGCAATTTTCGCTTATTATTATTCCACAATTTTGAATATTTGGTGAATATTTGAATACACACATTTGAATATTTGGTGAATACTCCTGAAGAATCTGCGATATACAGAGGCTACGATAAGCGAGCCGTGAAATTAAGACCAATTATTATATTGATTAAACGTATAGATTACACCTGGGCTTGAGTGTTTATGCTCAGTGATCTTAATAGATTATCAGGAATATTTTTTATGGGAGGACATTTAATTGAAATTTGGAGAGAAAGAGAAGGACAAGATTGGAAGGGAAGGAAGGAAAGTAAAATGGAAGCTGGAGTTAAACGAGACCATTTTAATAGCACCTTGTATTGTGTTGTTCGAGTAAGTGCAAATGCAGAACCTAGATTTGATCGATAGAATTTGTGTTAATATTTTAGAAAATTACTTTACATTTCGGGTAATAAATTTAGATTGACTTAATAAAAATATTTTTTGCCGGAAGCGTGTACATTCTGGAAAATTTTTCAAGTTTAATGTACTGAAGTTACGGCCGTCGACCAGCTATACAGCCATAGCACACGTGTACATATATCCAGAGTTGGGCAGCGCTACTTTTAAATGTAGCGGCCGCTACCGCAACATGCTCTAAATGTAGCGGGCGCTACCGCTACCGCTACAACTGCTTAAATGTAGCGCCGCTACCGCTACTGAAAATGTAGCGGCCGCTACATGTAGCACGCTACTGCCCACCTCTGCATAAATCCAGCTGTTATATCCAGCTATTTTATCCAGCTATCAGATCCTCCAACCATAATATCCATGATACATTATCCTCTCCTGTGTTCAGAGCGTGAATTCAGGTGAAGAAAATATCCTACTGAATATCCTATTTCTAGAATTTTTTAAATAGACATTTAACTATAGGGAATAATAATCAAATCTCCCTGGACTCCGGATTATTCTGGTTGCACAGTTACCTTTATAAAAAGGTAATTGCTTCTCTCCATCGATAATAATTAGGCATTATTGATTGACAAATAATGTTCTTTACATTGAATGTTATTCCCATCCGGTATATTGAAGAGAATAAAAGTAAATAATTCTGCAAAATTATTATACTGATATCGAATACCAAGGAAAACCACAAATTATAATAGAATAGAATTGTCGGAACTGAAGAAATAGGCCCACGGCCTGTTGCCGATTCTAGAATTTTTCGTGACTTGATTCACAAGCGATCCGGCCTTTGGAACCTGATCTTTCCATAACTGACCATTGATTGATATAGCTGCTGGACTTATTGCCTGGTCCGTAATTTGCTAGGCATATTAAGACTAAACATATGCTCCTGCATAGCTTCGTCTAGTCTGTTTTTGAAGGCGTTCATACTCGGAGCGTCAACGAAGCTATCAGGTAGGCTGTTCCACATGTCGGTGACTCGAAGCGAGAAGAAATGTTGTCGCATGGATGTGTTCCAACGCTGTTTTTTTAGTTTATAGCCGTTGCCCCTGGTGTTGGTTCTTGTTTCGAATTCTAGTAATCCTTCTGGGACCTTGTATAAGCCATGATTATACTTGTATGCTTCAATGAGTTCCCCATGCAGACGTCGATAACTGAGGCTTGGAAGCTTCATAATCTTTAATCTTTCCTCATGGGACTTGCCTTTCAAGCCCGAAACATCCTTGTTGCACGTCTTTGAACACTCACTATTCAATTTTTGTCCTTTTTCAGTTTCTATGACCACACGACGTTTCCAAACTCTAGGTTCGGGCGCATGACAGCAACAAACAACTGCTTCATCGCTTCTGCTTTTAGGAACTCGAAAGAGCTTTTGATGAGTCCTAGTCGTTTATTGGCTTTATTAACTTGACCTTCAATATGCTTAGAAATTTTCAACTCATTGTCGATATTAACTTCTAAATCTTTTTCCATTGTCGACTTCGACATCATCGCTCTGTCGTTGCAACCGTGTCTTCTCATAGTGTAATCTTGCTGTTCAGTATTCTTGCCAAGGTGGATTACTTTATATTTGTCGGCATTGAAACGCAGATGCCACTTATCAGCCCTGTTAACCAGCTTGTCACGATCACCTTACAACTGTACTTTTTGCTCCGTATTCTTCACTGCATTATAAATTTTTGTGTCGTCAGCATACATTGAGCACACGCTAGACACAGCTTCTGGCAGATCGTTTATAAAAGCAACGAATAAAACAGGCCCGAGAACGCTTCCTTGTGGCACGCCGCTGCGCACTGAAGCCCAATCTGATAGGGACCCATTAATACTGACACGTTGTTGTCTCCCTACTAGAAAATTTCGGATCCATTTGAGTACATTAATCTCAATTCCTAAAGACTTCAATTTACGCAACAGCCGCCCATGTGGGACACTGTCAAATGCCTTGGCAAAATCGAGGTACACTGCATCTACTGGCTCCCTTTCGTCCAGCAGGCGGGTCCATTCGTTCAGAGTCGACAAGAGGTTAGTGGTGCAGGATCTCCCGGCAATAAAGCCATGTTGACAGTCTGATAGGAGATTATTAACAGTCAAATGATCTATCAATCGATCCCTCACAACAGATTCCATTACCTTGCAAACGACACTTGTCAAACTGACAGATCGATAGCTGCCCGGGCAGCTTTTGTCACCTTTTTTGAATAATGGTGTCACTTGAGCTTCTTTCCAGTCAGCCGGCAAGAGCCTTTAGTTCAAAGTTTTTCGAAAAAATTACGTCACAGGGCCGGCTAGGACAGTTGCTAACTCTTTGAGCAATCTGGGGTGGAAGCCGTCTGGTCCACATGACTTGTTTGGATTTACAGCTATAAGGCGCTTGAGAACCTCTTTTTTTTGTATTTCGAAACTTGTTAATTTAGAGCCGACTCTGCGCTCCTCAATAGCTGTAATACTGTTCAAGTCCTTTCAGTGAATACGCTGCTGAAAAACTGATTAAGAACATTAGCTTTGCCCTCATCAGAGGATATCTTTCGTTTCTCTACTTTCAAATCAGAAATACCGTCCTTTATCTTGCACTTCGAGCTAGCGTACAATAAGAATGCTTTCGGCTTCTTTTTTGCATTTTTAGAAATATTTTTTTAATGGTTTTTACTGCGGTGCGACAGCTTTCTTTAGCTTGATTTCGAGCTCTTGCGTATAGGTTAAAGTCAGCATCGCTACGAGTCTGTAAATAACGCTGGTAGGCTTCCTTCTTTGTTTTCAGCTTAGCTAGAACTGTACTGTTCATCCACTGAGTTTTTTTGGCTCCACCAAGCTTAATTTTAGGTACACACGCATCAACTGCAGACATAACCGTGTCTTTGAAAAATGACAATGACTCAGCCACATTCATATCCTTAATACAGTTCAAAATATTCACTGCATTCACTGCTTCACGTTTATCATAGTCGCCTTTCGCAAAATTCAAACGCTCACGCTTTCGAAGTGTCTTTTCTGTACAGCACCTTAGACTGAAAAACAATGATTTGTGATGGTTTTGCCCAATGGAGCCTCGTGACGAAGCTCATCTAACATTGATTTATTCTAGAATAAACCAGGTCTAGAATATTGGGAGACTGTTTACTTCTATAATGGGTTGGCTCGGTAACTTGCTGGACTAGGAAGGAGTCTCTCATAGACTCCATGAACAAGGATGCTGGGTGATTCTCTTCCCTTGGAGAGGATCCATCTGTCCAGTCTAGCTCTGGATGATTAAAATCACGAACGATCAACGTGTGTGAGCTAATAAGCGAACACTAACCTGTTGTGCTGGAGGTAGATTTCCACGTTGATATCAACGAGAACTTCCTGGCTGAGGGTGCCAGCGTACAGCCTCGTGTTGTCCCACGGCTGTCATGAAATTTGTTTTGTCCATCATCAACGAACCAAATTGTAAATTGTAGCAAATATTTACGGGTGCAAATATAAATATAATCAAACTAACCTCTATTTTCTACATTATTTCATTGGCAGAAATTTGGATACATTATCCATATAGCTCCATATTATGGAAAACCTTGGAAGAAATATGATCGGTAACTAATATTACCGAGCTATAACAATTCATATGCAATAATTAATAATTGTGTAAATAAAAAAATACTAACTTAAAAACATTGATACCGCTGTCCATATTATCAAAAATGTTCATCATGCAGGGCAGCGCCGAAACAAATCAGCTCGATTAATGACCGAAAAATCGAGGCAATGGTTACTACGTTCATGTGTGTTCGAAATGGGCTACATAATGCAGTAATTTCTCGAATAATCGCCGCCATAAAAATTCGCTTGAAAAAAAAGTATACACTTAGGTATACACTATTTCTTCTTTCAGAAGCTTTGATAGTTTTAACCATTTTAATATATTGTAATCATGCATCTAAATCAAACAACTAATGAGTTCAGCTGGGCTCACCATATCGGGATGATTCCACTGGATCCAAACGAGCTTTGTGCCGTCCTCCGTGACCCGCGGCGCGGCGAAAAAGTCCGCGTGGGAGAACATGTCGCGCTCCTTGCCCGCCAGCAGGTCGAACACCGCAATGCCGTGCCGGGGCTCCTTAGCGCGGCCGCCCTCCACGGGGCCGTGGTCTTCGTATACGCAGTACAAGCGCTGCGTCTGCACGAAGGCGACCGTAAAAATGACATTACAATGCGACAGTACAAAAGACGTCACAAGGCGACCGTACAAATGACATTACAATGCGACAGTACAAAAGACGTCACAAGGCGACCGTACAAAAGACATTACAAGGCGACCGTACAAATGACAGTACGTGGCGACAGTACAAATTAAAGATATCATAAGGCGACCGTACAAATGACATTACAATGCGACAGTACAAAAGACATCACAAGGCGACCGTACAAATGACATCACAAGGCGACCGTACAAATGACATCACAAGGCGACCGTACAAATGACATTGCAGGTCGATCTTACATATGACATCACAAGGTGACCGTACAAATGACCTCACAAGTCAACCGTACGAATGACATCACAGAGCGACCGTACAAATGACATAAAAAGTTTACCGTACAAATGACCTCACAAGTCAACCGTACAAATGACATCACAGAGCGACCGTACAAATGACATCAAAAGTTTACCGTACAAATGACATCAAAAGTCAACCGAACAAATGACCACAAGACGACCGTGCAAAAGACATCACAAGACCACCGTACAAATGACATCACAAGGTTCCGTGCAAAAGACACCACAAGACGACAGTACAAATGACATCAAAAGGCGGCAGTTCAAAAGGCATCAAAAGGCAACCGTTCAAATGGCATCAGATGAGCCGCTCTTCACGGATCATCGGCATCCAATTATGCAGAGGATAATAAGCTTAGGCATTACCATGGGATATGTAGCAGATTATAGCAATGATTATGCGGTATGAATGTTTGAAAGCCGCGTCTGCATTATTGTTTATTATTGTTGATTATTATTTAGGTATTAATATTTGTGCAGACTATTGTATCCCTCTAATTTCGACTTCCTCTGTGCCCTGTCATTCGAGACAATGTAAAATAAATTTAATTTATTCGCAATGTATTGTCAGTTTGACTAGGCAGTAAATATTTTGCTGTGAGCTACGTAAGAGATATTCAATCAGACTGCGAATTGTGCTTTAATTGAATAAGGGACCCATACGACAATGAAACTGTTTATCAATCGTCGTACAGAGCAATACTCGATTTAAAAAGGTAAATGGCGTGTAGTTGAACTTGAAGCGATTTTCTTACTTTAGGAGAGTAGGTAAGGTCAGCGTATCGTTTTTTGGGCGAGTTGGAGATTTTCTCAGCCGTGGAGAGAGGCCCGTGCTGTCGGTAGAGTTGGTTGTCGTGTCCGGATACGTAGAAGACTGTGTTATTGTAAACGAGGAACGAGCCTCCACCGTACTCGTAGACGCGGCTACGAACGTCAACAGTCGTGTTCGTCCATCGAACGATTTTCTGATTATCTGGATGAAAAACTTTTGATTACCTGGATGAAAAACTTTTGATTACCTGGATGAAAAACTTTTGATTACCTGGATGAAAAACTTTTGATTACCTGGATGAAAAACTTCTGATTACCTGGATGAAAAACTTCTGATTACCTGGATGAAAAACTTCTGATTACCTGGATGAAAAACTTCTAATTACCTTGATGAAAAACTTCTGATTACCTGGATGAAAAACTTCTGAATACCTGGATGAATAACTCCTGATTACCTGTATGAAAAACTTCTGATTACCTGGATGAAAAACTTCTAATTACCGTGATGAAAAACTTCTGATTACCTGGATGAAAAACTTCTAATTGCTTGGATGAAAAACTTCTGATTATCTGGATGAAAAACGTCTGATTACCTTGATGAAAAACTTCTCATTAACTGAATGAAAAACTTCTGATTACCTGGATAATTTATTAAACAAAAATAGCAAAACACAATCATCATAGGAAGATCTTTAAATGGCGTAAGCAAAGTTAACATCCGTTTCCGTTTAATTCGTGACTTCAGCAAATTGAACGATACATGCAGAGACGTACTTTAGGATGCGAAAGCAGGATGTTAAAAATTTAGTTGGTTTCAAAATAACATCTAAATCAATTAAAATGTTATTACTTTGTAATTTGCTTTTTGCTTACTCCAGTGAAATTATCTCAAGTTTAAACTATCATTTAGGCCGAAAATAAATTTCTTGAAATATTATTGCTTGTGGTGTGGTCTATACTCGCAGCAACAGGCGTGAGTGAAGCAAGCTTTCATGTTCCCTGAGGTTTGATGTTCTCAAGACCAAAGCTCACAGCTGAGAATAGCAATTACGCGCGCACCAACTTAGCTCTCGATTTCTGTTTCAATTTCACCAAACGCTGATCCTTTTTTAGTTGCGAATATAAGAGATGAAAGCTTTTTCGAGCTAAGAAATAACTTCTTGACGGTCCTCTAGAATGTAACCAATTTCATGAGAAATTTTAAGCGAGCATAGAACAAGCAGGAATATTCATTACATCATTAAGATTTTTGTGAAATTTCTGGTGTCGGCTTGGTACATCTTGCTGCCATAAATGACTTTTCTGAATAATCGCGATAGGAATTGTTACTGTAATTTGAAATTGAAATATCGAAATTCAAAATATAGAAATATTTGATATCTTGAAACATTTGAAATATTTAAATGTTGGAAATGTTGAAATATTTGAGATATTGAAATATTTAAAAATTGAAATGTAATATTGAAATTGTTATTAATACTGCATAAGTCATAAAAACATGCGAATGGCCGTTCTCAAATTTAGGCTCCATAAAAACGGAATAGCCGTCGAGAAATTGACAGAATATGATTTAAATTTTTAGTAAGCGAAACGATCTCAAATTCATCTAACTATGAGAACCGTCACTAGAATTACATCTACCGAACCTCCACAATAAAAAATTACAAAAATTTTGGAATTTTGCTTCATGTAAAAAGCCTTGTTATTTTTCCTCGCTAAGAGCATTCGAGAAGGTTGACTTAAACAATGTTTTAACATTTTGTTTTCAAAAATTCGAAAAGTTAATTTCAAATTACGAAAACCTAGTTTAAGAATTTAAAATTTCAGAATAAAAACAGTGAAAGTAATCATTTATAGCATAGTAAATTGATTGTTCCATTGGAGATACTTTCAATCAATTTTGCTGAATCAAAAAAGCTGAAGTTTTTCGAACATGAACGGAAACATCAAACTAACAGAAATTTCTTACTTTTTGTCTGAAATTTTAACTAATTTTTTTTAAATTTTTTTTTAACTACAGCAAAACATATTTATGAAGGTAAAAAAAATCTCACCAACGTTGTACTGAAAGAGCACTCCGTGACCGTCTTCAGAACTGACCTCCTCGACCCAAAACACGTGGCCTGCAAGTTTCAAATTGATATGATTTAATAAAAACAAAATTCATTATTCCTAATAATAAATTGATAGCTAGAGCATTAAAGCGGTCTTAAGTGTTCCTATGAAAATAGGAAGTATGAGATATAATCAAAATGTAATCGCATGTATTCGGATCTCTAGTGAACTAAACGAAATTGATGGACTATTGAAATGAAATATTGACTAAAATGACAAGAAATTACTTCACTGACAGAAAAGTATAATTACTGCAATTGAAGAGTAGTAACTTTAACAAAAAAAAACACAAATCTTTTGGTGTCTTGCCAGAAAAAAGGCACGAGAAAGGATGAAATAACGAACCAACTTTAAAATCAATTAGTAAACAATTTATTTATTTATCGGAGTAATATTGGGCTAAGAACGCAAGGTTACAAAAGATCAAGCAGACAGAATTTAAACCGTACCAATTTTGAAATCGTTAAACTACATTTTATAAATAATGAAATATGCTGGTATCTGCTTCATTAAATCCATAGTCAAATAGCCTTATGCCTCGCTCATATTACGCGTATATTGTATTCGCTTGTCAAATTAGGCAAGGAAGTAGCAGAAAAAATATAACTCAGTACTCACTGCAGTGAGTGACAGGGAGCGCATTTTCACGTCGACGAAAACGTGAAGTCACGGACGGACAGATAGACGGACGGACAGACAGACGGACGGACGGACAGACAGACAGACAGACAGACAGACAGACAGACGGACGGACAGACAGACAGACGGACTGACAGACGGACGGATAGATAGACAGACAGACAGAAGGACAGACAGACGGATGGACAGACAGACGGACGGACAGACGACGGACGGACAGACAGACAGACAGACAGACAGACAGATGGACGGACAGACAGACAGACGGGCGGACAGACGGTCATGGCGAGCACAATTGTGCATTTTTTCCATAAATGAGAAAATGCGCTAAAAATCTACTCGTTGACCTGTAGCTCGGTCCACACGGGGCGGTTCAATGACTTCATTCCTGGCCTTGACAGCCACGTCGCTAGTGATGGGCGATGGCCACGACCCATACGCCGCCACCTTCTTGCTTTTGCACGATCCTGTGATAGAAAAACTTTATTGCCTGAATTATTATTAACTTATAATTGACTTATTTTCGTAGGAATGACATTGTAAAAGTTAGAAGTGGAGAAAGTATCAGTGGTGGATGTCAGATTCTTTATAGCTGGACGTTGTGACCAAGTGACTTCGATAGGCCCATGTGGCTGAGGAAGCACTCTACCGACAAAATTATTTTAAATTTAGACTGTACCCGGTACATAGATCGGTAAAAAGATCGGTAACTCCAATTAAATTTGCTTACAGGGAAGGTGATATTAATAGTAGGCAATGATTTCAGATGATTTCGTGCTTCAGATAATTTAATGATACGTTAATTGACGGTTTAATTGACACTAGAGAGATCTTCGCTATAGGTGTTAGTGTAGCGCGCCAGCCTTGGCTGCGCTTTAAACGCTAGTAGTTTTCCTCAGCCGCCGCACCTTTCTAACAAAGACTGCAAAGAAGAAGTATGCATAGCTAATTTTCTCTGGAAGCAGCTGATAGCGAGTAGGCAACCATTTTTGCGTGATAAACCATTTTTTGCAATGTCTATAAATATTTGTACTTAATGTCTGTACTTACAAACTGGTATGCATTTAGTTTATAGTCCTGCGTCGTGGCCGCGGATTCTCTAACTTATTAAAATTTACTTTGTGGCCTTTGGAAATTCGCTGAATTGTTTTAATTAATCCTCGTACGTTAGGGCCCGCAGGCAGAGACCTATAAGTAACGTCGTTGTATGGATCATAGTTGTCCCGCTACATTAGTAAATGATCACAGTCCACAGTTGATGTAGATCGCTGCTTTTGACAAATTTTCTGGTTGCTAGCAGCTCATTACGACGCTACATGGTTAATGTGAATCAAACATGAAAATGTATTTGACATGATCTCGCAATGTTAAACAACAAATGCTTCTGGAAATGGTTTAAATCACATTGACGAAGCGAACCGCAGTTACTAATTACTAATCAATTACACACCGCAATTAACATTTACTAATTAGGTTTTAATCGATTGGAATCAACAAAGATCCATGTCGCAAAAAAAAACTCATTCTCCCCAAAAGCCTTTTCAGTGTCTCATTTCGCTGCGTATGAACATGTTTATGAAACAATACTGTTAATTTGGCTTTAGTAAAACTTTCGCTGGCGCTCAAAATAGGAATTTCACTTCAATTCCTGAATAGAAAAGAAGCATGTTTTTTTTTGTCGTTTTCTACACTTCTCTAAAGACACTTATTATAATACCCATTTTGGTTGCAATTAAGTATTTTCATTTGAAAATATTTCTTGAATAATTGTATTTCAATCCATAAAATTTTGATTATTTAATGAAAGTCGGTATTCTGCGACACAACATATTCTAATAGACTGAAATAAAAATCGCGTATACGATAATACATCTTTAAATACTCAATAGACTTTTTAATTTTTACTCATTTACTTAGACTTATTTACCTTCAGGCGTACTTAATTATTATTTACCTTCAATTTTAAGGTAAAAAATACAAGAAAAGAACTATTGATTTCGGTTGTAAATATTTGCTCCAGAAATGAGCTGTCATGAGCCATTGAACCTACACGGTCGCCCCGAACACACTCGCCGAGTTTAGCTTACTGCCACTGTAGTGTGCACGCTGTACATGAAGACAAGAGTAGCACTTAAAATAGCGTGTATTTTTGAAACAATATGGCTAATTTCAATCATTGCTGTTTAACTGTTCAAATGTGATGTTTTGTTCGGTAAAAACCTTTTACAACTCAAATGACTTGGAAGAAACGTAAGGCCCGTGACGACCATATCATTTAGCTAGGCTAAAATACATACATTCTCTTGCAAGCATCAAGCTGTCTAGTAGTAATAGATGCTTCGCTGACTCAATAACAAATTTTGACGGTTAGTTATAATATTTTCCGTAAATATATAACAGGTCGCTTTCTAGCACTGCTGTCGGCAGGCTGATTGATCGCCTCAAGCAAATTGATTTCTGTTTCAACTAAAACGTTTCTGTCAAGGAATGCAAACGCAATCAGTATGGCACTAAGCTACCAAGAGAATGCAATGCTTGCTGCCTTGTATATATATACCAACGTCCATGCATGATACGATCTCATGCATAAACTGCATGATATTTGGTGGAAACATTGTAAGTGCTAACATAATGGTAACCGTGTATGACTGTTTCTATGTTTGGTCACCTTAACGCTCAATTATTTTTTAAGAATAGACTGGTTCTCCATAAGTGAAACTTCGTACAATCGAAAATTCATTTTCTAATTGGTCATGACTGCTACAATTTCATTAGAGATAAGATGGAAGTAAATTAAATTAACAATTAATTACCTGAAGATATTTTATCCAGCAGTAAGTAAGATGAAGCAGTTGTTTTGTATTGACATTTATGGATCGAAAATTCATTTTCTAACTGGTCATGACTGCTACAATTTCATTAGAGATATGATGGAAATAAATTGAATTAATAAATGCTTACCTGAAGCCTTCTTATCCCCGGAAGTAAGATGAAGCAGTTCTTTATTGACATTCTTTGATCTCAGCAGCAGGTTTAGAAGCAAGCTGCCATTAGACACGTTCAGCAGCTGGAACTGCGGTGTAACATTCATGGTTCCTGCCTGGTTAGTCTCGACGCAATGGGCGGACGATGACCGAGCATCTGGAGGTATCGTGTTGACATTCATTACAAACTATTGGGTTTATTAAAAAAATCTAAATAATCGAGATTTTTCTATCAATTTTTATTGTAAGTTGAAATGCGAGAAAAAAATAATCCGATTAAAATTGAGACTGAAGCTACAATAAATTGTGCAATTATGAATAATTCATTCCGCTTGTTATTAATTTTATTGATATTTACCAAGTGCAAATATAAAGCAACTGCTTGGTTATCGTTCATGAGTTCAGTTCGAATTCCTTATTAACTCATCAACGCGCTGTCAACGCACATTGATCACATTAATACATAATTATGACGAAAATTGATATTTTAAAATTAAAATTACAATGCAGTGTACCTATTATTCTAAAAAAATAGTCGTGGTTGTGATGGAAAAATTCTTTCGCTTTGCCAAGTTAATTTGAAACAGACTAATCAATCTTCTGTTTTCCTACGCTCATCAATGACCTACAGGAGTACAGGAGTGCTTTCTTAAATGACTTCTCTGAAGTTCGCTCATCAATGACCTACAGGAGTACAAGAGTGCTTTCTTAATTACATTCAAGAAAACGCGTGCCAAAAGTCAAATAATTGTCAAGGTTATGAGTAGTGCAGATGAATGAAAGAAAATCGTAATTGGCGGATCTGTCAAGACCGCGGCCGCAAAAGCTTGAATGCTCAACCATCAAACAAAACTAACCTGAATTGTCCACATGATTCTCTTGATTAGAAGAATTTTCAGCGCTGAAGGTTGACGGAAAACTCGAATCCGAGATCGGATTTGATTGAGGGGCGGCGAGGGAAGGATCCTGATTGAAGGAATTGAGCTTTGAAGCGTCGAGGGTAAGCTGGTCTTTGGAGCTTGTGTTCGTAGTTCCTGTCTGGTGATAGACGGGATGTGAGGGACGAAAAATTCAATTGGAGCTCGTCAAAACAATTCGATTGTATTTGATTGTGACAAAATTCGTTGAGGAATATCTGTGACTAATAGAAGGGAAACGATACTTCCAAGCACACTGAAAATTTTGACAGTATATACATATAATGCCACTGACTCCCCATGCAATTTTTACTGATGAATACGCGCCTGTATCAAGTTCCTCAATCTCGTTTCCGACTTTCATGCGTACTTCAATGCGTATTTGGTATAAAAAATTCTACTTTGACGTTCGCTTAGCAGGGTTGAAAAAATTTTTTGGGCGTTTTGAAAAAGTTTTCAGCTATTTTAATAGCTCTGACTGTACATCTTTAATCTGGCTTACAGTGGAAAGCCAAGCATGAACCAGAAGATAAGTCATGCTAGCTTCGGCTCAATTAACTTGCATGAAATTCATCTAAATTTTGATAAGCGCTTAACTCACAGTTTCGTTTGACCAGTGAAAGTCGCCTTCATTTCTGGTGCTCAAAAATTTGCCAAATTGTATGTATCTTCAGCTAAATAATATATTAGGCAATGCTTAACTACAGAACAAATTTATTTAGAAAATAACCAAAATGCATTCCGCTATTTTATTAGGATGCCCGGCAGCAGCGAGGTCAAATTGGCGAGAAGCAAGCAATTGGTGTCGCAGTTCTGGGAGCATTCAAAGCAAATGTTACATCGCATGTTACATTAATTGTAGCAGACCAACCTGTACAGTGTATAAGGCTTATTTAAACATCGTTCATTTTAGATGAATAAAGTTAGCGATTGGATCATATTCCGCACCAATGCACTGAGAAAAATTAATGTGTAATATTCTCCAAATGGTGATATACTGTCTGCACGTACGTAGCAATAATACCCCTTTTTACTGGGCCTGAGTGGGTATAGGTGACCCACACTAAGCAAAAAGTGCATAGTTTTATTATAAGAGTTTCCATTGATTTCTCTTGGTGTTATATGATGAGTTGAATTCTCGCTTGCTGTACAGGAAGTATTCTGCAGGTAACGTAAATAAACAAATGTTTAGGGGTTAATCCACTGCAAATAGAAAATTTGTTTTGTTGTCGACATGCCTGTGAAGAATTCAAGCATATGATATTGCCTAATGCAAGAAGTGGATAAGCAAAGGCCAGTAAAATTATTTTTCGTTTGCATGGAATTAGGTTCCAGACTGATCAGCCATTCACGACGCTTAAAACCTCCCTTATACTTTATGGGAGGCACATGTGAGGACCCAAAGGAACATATGCCCCGTTTTCTTGGCTTTCTTCAATGAACTTCAATCTTTTATCATTAGCTCAATGGTCAAAACGATGGTCCATAAGACGCTAAAAGTTTGCAATCAAACCTAAAAGGCTTCTTTTGCTGACGAATTGCTCCAATGAGTACTATAATATTTCTTCATCATCTATTCTACGGCTACGTGTGTCTCCAAAATTTCGTAATTCCAAAATGGCTCCTGAAGCACTGTCATGAATAGCGGTATTCAGAAGCCTTGGTCAAATTATATAATCATTGTTAGCTGCATTCTTGATGTTGTAGAAATGCAGCGTAGAGTTTTATTCGTAGATATCATATTTTCTGATGCATAAATTTGAAAAATTCGAACGATATCGACTTCAAACAAGTGAACAATTGCAATATCACTTAATTAAAAAAATACATATATATATATATATATATATATATATATGTGCTAGTATCTATCAAGTATTTTATATTTAAATACATAAGCATTAAAATGTGGTTGAAAAAAACCAAAACTTTGTTTTTGGATTAAGAGTCCAATTTTTGGGTTTTAAGTTCTAAAACATACAAGTTAAATAAGAATATTTCCTGGGTCATTGTGCATATTTAGCGCGGATAAATCTTACAGTGGCTGCCGAACTTCCGGCTTCATGATTCGAAGACGTGGCGTTGGCTGGAAGAGTGGAAGACGTGGTGTTGGCTGGGAGATGGGAAGACGTGTTGTTGGCTGGGAGATGGGAAGACGTGGTGTTGGCTGGGAGATGGGAAGACGTGGTGTTGGCAGGGAGATGGGAAGACGGGAGAGGAGAAAATGTGGCGTTGGTTGGGAGAGGGGAAGACGTAGCGTTGGCTGGGAGAGCGGACGAGATGTTGGCTGGGAGAAAAGACGTGGCGTTGACTGGGACTGGTCGGTCAATCTGTTCAGGCGTTGTAACTTTAATCAGTCACGAGCAAATAATTTATTTCCATTTATTAAGATTAATTTATTAATTAATAAGTGCATAATTCGTACACTTATTAGAGTTTTTGAACGTGCATGAGTCTGAACCTAACTTGCCCTTGTTGCCTAAATTTTAAATTTTAAGTTAAATTTTAGGGGTTTTGATGCATTATCAGGTGTTATCTGTGAACTTTTTCATATTAATACTATATCGAGAATAAGATAATTAAAATTAACTTCAAAAAGGACAATCTGGGGAGCTGAGCTAGATTTCATCCATAAAACATTGCAAAAATAACAACTAACAATAAGTAACGACGAAAAATTTCACTACCAAATAATTTTGTGATTATCAATTGCTTATTAATTGGACTAGACACTACGAGCCTTTATCACCTGAAACCCAAAATTATAAATTCTACATCATTATTTAATTATGACATAAATTTTAAATATCCTTAATACATTTTGTGTTTTAATAAGTCCAGCCATTATGTTCTCCGAAAGTGTTCTTCTTCAGCTTGACTGGGATCGATGACTAGAAATTTGTTTAGAGCGATGAATAAGTCTGATTATAGCGGCACTTATCAATGAGGGATTACTTGCATGATAAATGCGCGTAAACGTGACTTGTAGAATTAACGTAGATGAGAACGATCTTTCTTGATATTTCAAGGTTCAAACTTAATTTTTTACTCAATCTTTCAGATAACATATGAAGAAGTACTGCTGCTTGTAATTGAGAAGTGGAGCACGCAGATCCAGTAAGAATTACTCTTTGCCTATTATTGCGGCCGGAACTTTGAGTGCACAAGCCCTGATCTCGTTGTGTTGGCACAGCAACAAATTGCATGAGGGAACTATGTCACTGAACTTATTGTAATAATAATAATTTAAATAATAATGACGATTAAAATAATAATAATAATAATAATGGTAAAAAAATATAATAAATTAATAATATTAATATTGATGATAATAATGATACTCACTTGCGTACCGTCCGTACCCGTTGCAGCACCACAGCAGACGAGCAAGGCTGCACCGAACATCATTAACATTTTATGAATGGTTTATGAATAGGGATTCAGGAATAGCTTTCTTATTCAAATCTAATCTCTATTGTCCTCTAATTATAACTGAAACATTCAGTCATAACGATTTTTTCTTTTTGATTGTTTTCCAGGTTGAATTTCACAATGAAAACAAATGATCGCAGATTATGTTGAAAGAGCCAATTGATTTTAGATCACAAATATCCCTTGGTTGTTATTCTTCTCGCATTTTCGCTTATTGTATTTCACACTAGAAAAACTACACATGATCAAAGCTCGATGTAAGATCACATCTTTTTTGTTCCTTGACGATGCAATTAATTCGAGTTCAAAGTTTGCGATGCTTCTTTTTCAGGACGAAAACCTCGTTCTGTGCGCAGCAGCATTCCAGGGTTTTTAGTTGGAGCTTCCGAACCAAACGACCAAGTCAGACGTTGGGATTAAGAGTCGTAACTTCGTGGAATATGAATGGTGTATGCTGATCATGATATCAGAATATAAAGATTAAACATTTGATAACATTTCATGGAGTCAAAATCGCACTGGAGTGTCATGAATCGCACTTGTCATCACATGCGCAAAAAATATTCTCGATCAGTGGGGTACATGAAATAGAACAATGACTGTTTATTAGCCAGACAAGTTGATGTTCTTCAGCGAAAAAAAATGGACGCACACAAGTCCTAAATAAAAATACAAACAAGTTTTGAAGAATGGAAGAGCAGGTAATTTAATGCTAGTGAAATTTCGGATAGACATTTCTTCTGTTAAACGAATGCAAATCCATAACAATTTTACAGTTAGCTATTGCACATTATCGGATATATTCTATATTTTCAGGAAAGATCTTGCGTAAAATTTAATTTGTAAAATCTTTACAGACTCCGTTAGCCATGGGACGGAGCATTTGGTGTTCACTGTTAATTCCGGAAGAAATGCAACTCTACTATATAGTGTCCACTATGTCTCTTCATCACTACTACTATATAGTGTCCACTATGTCTCTTCATCACTAGACTTGTATTTAAACTAATCTCAAGGCTTTCAGTTGCACGGACTACTAATCTAATATATTCTCATCTCATGAGATGACATAAGTATTCACTGTAGTTGAACCCCCAAGAAAGCATCACAGGAGTGAACTGCAGTGCACTACACTCGGTACTGTCATCACAGCGAGCACGACTGCTCGGTTCAAGTGAACAGTCAGGCTGGACCGGTTCTGTAGCTCCCCCACCTCCTCACCCTGTACACAACCAAGAAAAACATGTGGGATGACTATTTTAAATAAAATTATTATTACTAATGATGTAGAAACTTCATCAAGTGAGAAACATAAAAAATTGTGGACCTACAATCAACAAATTCGATAATTAATCAAATAATCAACTATTGTCGCATGAGATAATCATTGTTCAACAGAAAGCGATGATCAGCGAACTAAGAAAGCAATAAGCAATAATCGACATAGATCGATTATTACCGGCGCTATACACGTTCGATAATTTCAATACTTGACACGTGCAACAAGTATCGGTAATGCGATAATCAACGCCTGGTTAAGCAATAATCAATCAACGCATAACACATGCGGTAATCAGTGCAGAACACATGCGGTAATCAGTGCAGAACACATGCGGTAATCAGTGCAAAACACATGCGGTAATCAGTGCAGAACACATGCGGTAATCAATACTTATCACATGCAGTAATCAATGCTCGTCGTACGGGAGCTTAATGTTCGTTCAAAACCAAACGCGCTATTGCGTCCTAATAACATTAATCAGTAGTGTCTAATTGTTCAGAAACGTTTTTCAATTATTTCACCTTTCAATTTCAAAGTTTGCTATGTAATAAAGTTTATCCTTGTGTATTTTTTAATTCACTGTTACACTGAATCCTTGAATTCCGAATGGAATGATTAACCTGCGTAGTTATTTTTATTTCTTACCTCGGGTTTCTTTATCTTGGTATTGCATGATCAGATAAGGTTGGATTCTCAAATTAGCCGATAACTTAACGGGATATTGGAAATTATATGCTTCCTCCGATAATGAACAATAATAAATGTATTACTTGCTTCCATCATCAAAATTATGTCACATCGATTGTTTCCTTAAAAAACGCGAATAAACCAAGAACTAGAATGACTGCATTGTAGTCTAGAATGACTGCATTCTAGTCTATAATGACTGCATTCTAGTCTAGAATGATTGCATTCTAGTCTAGAATGACTGCGTTTTAGTCTAGAATGACTGCATTGTAGTCTAAAATGACTGCATTCTAGTCTTCTAATTTGACATGAATGACTGCAATAATTAGATTGCCCAAACGATTTGCATCTGCATTGCAACATCAGCCGCTTGCCAGGAGCAATCATCAGTTGGTAACGCTGTTGCTGCACAAAGCAATCATCAGTTGGTGATGATGTTGCGGCACGAAGCAATCATCAGTTGGTGACGCTGTTGCTGCACGAAGCAATCATCAGTTGGTGACGCTGTTGCTGCACAAAGCAATCATCAGTTGTAGATGATGTTGCTGCACGAAGCAATCATCAGTAAGTGACGCTGTTGCTGCATGAATAAATCATCAGTTGGTGATGATGTTGCTGCACGAAGCAATCATCAGTTGTAGATGATGTTGCTGCACGAAGCAATCATCAGTTGGTGACGCTGTTGCTGCACGAAGCAATCATCAGTAAGTGACGCTGCTGCTGCATGAAGCANCAGTTGCTGATGATATTGCTGCATGAAACAATCATCAGTTGCTGATGATATTGCTGCATGAAACAATCATCAGTTGCTGATGATATTGCTGCATGAAACAATCATCAGTTGCTGATGATATTGCTGCCTTCCCGCGCTCTCCTACTTTTTGGCACCTCTGAGTAGAGTTTACGACCAGCGAGTCAATAAGTATCATTATATACAATTTAAATCGATACAATAAGATACAAGAATTGTACTTATGTTTACGAGTATATTGTACGAAAAGTTTATGAGATGTGTTAAAAGATTTTAAGAGAATATTTTTAGGGGTCGGGAAATGTTTTCCGACGCTAAACAATTGGGGTTAAATTTAACTGTAATTAATTCTCACTACCAAAGCTAGTGGTAACAATAATGTAAAATTATCTGAAGTGCGACAGAAAGTTTAATATTCACGTCTCCATAAATATAATTTTGAGTAACATGGATATATTAATAATTTGTTATGCATACAAATTCACCAAATATCGCCTTTCGAACGTAAAGTTATTTTCACTCTTACTAATTATAGATATGCCAATAATTTGATATGGCAAACTCGGTCAGAAATTGCTCAGCGAATTCTTAATCACTATTTGATACAGCGAGACTAGTACCTCTACCTGCAATCACCTGCAATCAAATCGTAAAAAACTGCAATGCTGTTTTTAAAAATTAGTGACACGTTGAAATAATTCTTATCCTCTCATAGCATCAATTTCTAGTATAGTATATAGGCTGTAATTAAGTGATTAGTCTGAACTGAATGTATTGTACTTCTTGCAAAAAGGGTTTCAAATTATGACTGCTTTTATGGTGACTTCTTTTTTGATGACATGGTCGGCCGTTACTGATTCATCCAAGACATTAATGCTTTCTTTGCAACTTATATTATACAAAGATATCCCGAAATACAAAGATATATACAAAAAATTTAAATAAAGATTTATACAAAGATATCCCAAGGCATTGCTGATATCGAGATGATTTTCCGGCTTTCGCTTTCAACTTCAGTCGTTCAATTCAATGGGGGCGTCATTCATCACCGCCCTGTTGTGCTCTTTTAACATGCAGTTATTGATTAATAATATTCTTAGAATTTAATCCCCTCACATCTTTTGTTCGTCAATATTCGAGCCAAATTTTGCTGGTTACATGTTCGAATAGAGTGATTTATTTTTCGAAAAATCCTGAGATGAGAAGGCGGCCATTGATATTTTGCCGCACTAATTGGGAAGCTTTGTATTCGAATGTTCTATTGAATTGAGAAATGAAACGCTGAGAAAGAGCGGTTCTAATTCGAGTGTTTGATCACAATGTGCATAAAATGTTCGGATTCATGTAGTGATTCGTTGATATAAACATCAACTGAGACTTCTAATCTTGACCTCGAACGCATGCAAGACCGTTTATCAGGGTTGAGCATTTCCTGGAAGACAAGGATATTTTTACGACAATTAACTGTCTAAATCAGTGACGAAAGTGAACTGAGAAAAATATAACTCAATACTCACTGCCGTGAGCGACAGAGAGCGCATTTTCTCGTCGACGAAAACATGAAGTCACGGACGGATAGACAGACGGACGGACAGACGGTCATGGCGAGCAAAATAGTGTATTTTTTTCATAAATGAGAAAATGCGCTAAAAACTACCAAATGCCGTTTTATGCATAAAAATCAAAAATAAAATTAATACATAGCCACATAACAGTACAGTTCAATAAGTGTCACTGATAAACTTAGCCGCTTACGGATCCAATTAATCTCAATTGTGCTATTTACAATCTAAATTGAAAGAAGAATTACCGGCGCATATGCTCAGTCGTTGTGGCTTGGTTCTCACAATACTGCCGGGCACGTGCCAGTAACGGTCCAGTAAAATATTCTTTAATGCATTTCTATAGAAGCATTCACACCAGCCGTGACAGGGACGGGACTGCAGCGCTGCCGATTATTTTTTTAATGAGTTTATCAGATTGGTAGCTCAACATAAAGCATTTTAGTAACTACTAGATATAAACCAACAGTAGGGTAACATGGGGCAAACGGACCACTGCGGGTCAAAGGCCCATAGCGGGTTTCTCGCTAAGTATGGCAGATATTGGTCCGTGTTCTCTACCGCCGGTCGACAGTTTCACTGGGATGAAGTGTACGGATTTACGTATTGCTAAGAGTTTGCATTGTTAAGTTATTTGTGAATAACTTTTTTAGCCCAGATAAAAGTTTTTTTTGCTGCTAAATAAACGGTATATAAAGCTTTCGATTACGGTAGATGAAGCTTTTGAAAGTACTGTTAATTATATTTTGAAATTAATATTTATAAGAATAATTTTGAGTTCAAGTTTAGACTATTAGCTTTCAAAATAAAATATTGCCACGATATAAATTGAAATGATACCTAGTGGGGCAACAGGCCCATGCATGTCACGGAACAAAGCGCCCATGGTGGCCTTAATACCCCTCTGTGAAGTCTTGTGATATAAATCATTAGATTTGTCTCAATGTGCTCTTCAAAGCTATAAGCAGCTTTTTGACTTACAAATGGCTGAAATCACGATCGAATTCTCTGCACTTAATACCTGGATTATGGACGAAACTGGAACGAAGTTTTTTTGATCAACTAAATATATTTTTTCTAGTCAAGAATAAATTTTTTCGCGCCAAGGATGAATTTTCTATCGCAAGGATATATTTTTCAAGTCAAGGATATATATTTTATGTCAATGAAATAATTTTCTTTACGTCGGTGATAGGTTTTTTAAGCCAAGAGTATATTTTTTTAATTCAAGGGTAAGATTTTTTAAAGTTTTTAATAAATGATGAATGTCATATTTTTTACTACATTTTTCTTATTTTTAACTGTAAAGTGTTGTTTTATCATTTTTAAACAAAAAATTTGCAATTTTGGTTAGGGGACCAAGGGTGGGCGCCTTGGGCCCATTACCCCAGGAGTGGGGCAATGGGCCGATTTTGACACTTTTTTTCAAAATAGTGTTTCATTAAAAATTGAATAACTCTACAGACATCTAATTCACATCATACATTCTTCATTAGTTGTACCTTTAAACAAAACAAAGAACCACCTCGTATCAATTGAAACTTCATGAACAATTTAGTTAAAAGGGGGGGGGGGCGCTGCCCCATGTTGCCCTACCGGGCACCATGTTAACATACTAGTTTTTAAAAATTTTTGTATGGATATATACCGGTCGGCAACGCTGCGTGACTGACATGGCTCGTGATACGAACTAAACTGAAGTGTGGATGGCCCGAGACCGGCCCGAACATGTGAATACCTGGCCGCCAATGACCGTGACCGGCATATACCCGGGAGTGTGGTGTGAACCAAGTTTAACTGGATGAAGCTTGGCTAATTTGACCGTTTGTCTATCAAGGGCATC